GTTACTATCACTCAAGCCAAATGACCAAAGTTAGGAGGCTTTCAGGGAAACAAGTGTAAGGACGTCAAGACAAGACTTGATGGTAGTACAAAACTCGGATAACTTGTTGCAAGTGGATGAATCTAATTCATAACTAGTTCATAGTATTACTGAATGAGGAAATAAGTAGGTAGATTGATTAGGGAAATTAGTCTGCTTTATGTCGTCGCTCATCAGTGACTTAAGAGCGTTTCTCTATTTTCACATGATCCCCGGAAAGCATCTAGCTGTACGAAGAATAGGGCTCACGTGTAAATCGAGATGGACCTTCACGTCAGAAAAGCGACGATGTGTGGCCCTCGGTGAAATTTTTAGCTAAAAATACCCAAGAGTTTCGTGATATAAAATGGATCGCAATTAGCAAAGAGGGACCAGCGTAATTACAGTACGTGTATTGTAAAAATGTTGCTCCTTCATAATTATCTGAAGAAGTCTCCCAAAATGGCAAATAGTTTTTGCTTCCCACCAAAAAATTGTTAAATTTAACGGAAAAGAAGTATGTAAATTTCAATACGGTACGTATATTAAGTATTATTAAAAGAAAAGGAGAAGCTGCACGATTTTGAAAACACATTTTTGCTGAATGCGATCCGAATAATAGTCACCAGTGGAAATTTTGCAACATTGATATTTAGTTACGTTCTCTCATCTGACGAACGACGAATTTAGATATCCAATAAACCGAGCTCGAACAGCAAATGTATCAGTGCAACTAGACTCTCAAGAGGTGTGATATGCAACTGAAATCGGGTTAACACGAATTCCGGCTTCCCTCTCGAGTTGTGCTCTTGACGGAGTGACTAACATTTTCACGGTGATGTAATAATTAACATCATCCGATTAGAGTGGAACCGCTTGGGCAGCTTAGTCATGAGCTCATAAGCACACCTATCTTTACTCCCCGTTGGAGTCATAAGAAGCGAAACCGCAGCTCCATTCCCCGAACCTAACTCAAACAGTTGAATGGGCCACTAGACAAGGTCTAAACTAGATAAAAACAGAACACGTTTTCTCTTGAGACACTTACGTAAAAAACGAATCATACAGCAGGAAATTTGGGAACGAACTCCTGAACGATATAATACCAGGTATTTTGAACACAAATCAAATGAATATTTAGATTCTATAAATGACATCATTCGTATTTTTGCCTTTAACCAATAATGATAATTGCAAACACTTAGGGGCCGTCCATAAATTACGGCACCCAGGTAGAGGGGAGGGGGGTCTAGCGGTGGATGACGGGGAGGGAGGGTCGGGTCAAGGCAAGGCTGACGTAAGCTTTCCTGAGGGCAAAAAAGTTGAAAATCCTTGCTTGAAAGACTATATCTACTGATTTTTATCGATTGTCTGCGTTCTCTCCCAAAAAGGGGGGGGGGTGCGCTTAGGATGATGTAATTTTTAGGGGAGAGGAGGTTCAGCAGTAGATGACACATGTTTCGCTAATTTATCATGTTTTCCTTTCGTCAGTAATAACCAACCGTTTGAATCGATTGGAAAACGTAATTTCCTCTTTGTCTCCTTTATCTATTTCTTTTTTCATCAATTCCGATAATCAGCCCGCTGTTGAACATAGATACAGATGGCAAGAATTGTGCGGTAAAGAGATGCTTTCTGACTTTTCTGATATGCTGAACTTCTCTATTGTGCGATTTTCTTGTCCAAAATCCAGTCAAATGAGTTTATTTCTTGTATCAGTGGCGTGGCGTGAATTGCGATGTATCGATTGTTCTGCCATTTAAACCTATGGTAAAGAATCGATTATTAAGGTGTTCACTGCGAACACCCTGATTATCGATCCTTTTTCATAGGTTTAAATGGCATAACAATCGATATATCGCAAAGCACGCCACGCCACTGTCTTGTATATGCATCTCATCCGCGGATTGGAAAAACTCGAGCAACATGGAACATGGACAGCCCGTGGCATTTACGCCCTCTCTCAAATGAGCTGTTTAATTTGAAATCTCCGCGGCAACGAACGTTAGTATCTAGTTCATCTCTCTCCCCACAGAGTGCAGGCACTACCTGGATGGCAAGAAAAGAGGTAGCCTCTACTTCGACCCGTAGAGTGAGCCGCAAGTTCGTGGTATGGGAAATGCATAAAAGCATATCTGCCGTGATGGCGAAGAAAGGGTAAGGGTAGTAGGTAAGGGTCAAATTTTCGAAATCGAGTATCATTCAAAATTCGTCGAATCAGTTTTCGATAAAATCCTTGAATTAGCTAAAACAGAAAAACTCAACTTAATTGTATGAAAACGAGATATATGAGAAAGCCGTTGGTGCGCAAAAAATGACGTAGGTTCAGGTAAAACAGCCGCAAGTGACATTGTTTCTCCAGAGAGCCAATGAAGCAGTGCTTTCAAGTAAAATGCCGCCCTCTTCTGCTAATTTCTAACCTGAAAATGATTTTGTTGAGTGTTCAAAACGCAACCACGAAATTATGCAGAGAATAGCACTTACGGCTGTGTTGCCTAAAACTAGCTTAACATGAAAAATGAAAATGAATTTTTATTCCTTCCCTTTCCTTCTTTTATACCTTTCCCTTTCATTTCCTTTTTTGTAATTGAAATAATATCGGTCGATTTTTAATCATCCAAACGATTTCGAAGAGTCTCTCGGATGATTAGTGGCAATTTGACAAAGAGCGAAGGCTCCTTGCAATTAAAATTTTCTAGTTAGACGCTTCTGAGCCAATTTTCTCAAAACTTCATTTTTGCACTCACTGCTCTCTTCGAAGTCACGGCAGATATGAGAGCCCCCATCGAATCGCGCGCAGATAACTGGACGTGAAAGTAAAAGTTCCATGAAAAATTTAGATGGAAATTTTGATGGTGCCTAACTGTTTTTACAAAGGAAGGAATTACTCTAAATATTAAGAAATTTACAAACAACAAGTTTATCCAAGAAAGAAAAAGTAAGGATCGTCGAAATTCTTCCGCCGAGTTTTAGATGGTTTATAAGGACCAGAAAATCATACCGTTTTACCGACAGCTTACTACTTATTTAGATAAATCACGATGTGAAAAAATTTAACGACATATATTCAGTTTGCTCATGTGTCATTTGCGCAGCTTAAGTCTATTTGGGTCTTTAACATTTAAAGGAACTAAGCTCCGCAGACGATCATTATCAAAATCTTCCAAAATTAGACCCATACATCTCGTCAACAAGTTTTGAATGACAAATATCTGCGAAAGTTGAACCGCTCTCTTTCTCTCTCTCCTCTGTCTGGAAATTTCCTAATACTCATCAACGGATAAATCATAGAGCTGTCTAAGACACTTTTAAAACTAAAAATGAAAGGGAATAGTAGCCCCAAAATGCCGATGTTGTTACAATGTCTCCAAAACAGCGGTTGCGATATTCCTCAGAGCAGTGTGATTCTCGCGGATTGATTGAGGAATCATAATAGCTTTGCGCCTTCAACGCGCCCGTATAAGAGAGCATGTAAAATTTTGATACCACTATTCGAGCGTAACGACAGTTATTTTGCCTAACCGACTAATTGAAGGAGATTTACAAATCTGCGTTAAGCAAATCACTGGAGAGGAGAGTAGCATGTTTCTAGGACGGTCTTGCGATAATCTGATGAAGTTTATGCGACCATTCAAAGGAAAATAACGTGTTTTAACGGAAGAAGTCCAACTTCTCATTACTTTTGGACCCAACCTCTGTGGATGCTTCGCTCTGGATTGGACTTTTCCAAAATTAAAACTCACTAATACTCGTTACTTATGAAGAAAAGAACATCTTAAACAAGAATATACGTCCGGTTATTTTTCTCTTTTATATTTGTATATTTTATATTTTGGCATGTTCCCTGGTATTAATAATTTAAAGTCAGCGAGCACGTGTCTATCTCACAAAATTGTTTGAAATTTCCGAATTCATTTCATTTTCCCGAAAGAATTGTAATCACCGCCATCAGGTTGTTAAATTGTAGTTCTAAAACGATTTCCTTTTCTGCCTCTGTATTTAAAACTTCCTTCCTTCACATGAAATGGGCTTCATTTAAAGTACGGAAAGTGTAAAATAAAGTTGTGAATCTTAATCCACCATTTAATTCCTGGATTTAATTTGAATGGTTCATCGCACACGAATTGCAAGTTCTCATTTGCTCTCATCATGCCGAATCAACAAACGATGTAAAATTCTGTTAGTAGATCATGTCGTTCACTCGAAGTCAGCCCTCAATTTCAGCACATAGGCAACAAATCTAACAGGGCGCAAATGAAACGTACTTAAAATGTCTAATTCAAAACCTCACATTTAAATAACTCCATAAACTTTAATTAATTGGAATATAAGAGATGATGTGAGCCTTCTTTCAAAATTCTTCCATCCGAAAATTGCCTTCAATTTTGCCGCATAGGCAACCAGCAAACCGGGAAACAAAATTAATTACCAATTTGAAAAACACTTTATCTTGTTCTATAAACTCTGAGAGGACCAATAGTCAGTTGAAGAACTGATTGACTGACAGTGTCCACTTGATTTTCACCTCCTGCAACATCTCCGCAGGGGTAACAAACCAATCGGAATTGAGAAAGCTTCGAGAAACATACATTGTCACCCTCTCGCCATGTATCACAAGCGCCAGGCGACGTTACAAAATTTCCGCCGGTATTTGATTTTTTTACAGAGAAATTGTTCAACGAAGCTGTCCGAAAATTTCACTAAATTTTCTTTGCGATGCCGATAAAATTCGGTGAAATTTTCAAACAGATTCAACCAACAATTTTTCTGTAAAAAAATAAAATAGCGGCGGGAATTTTGAAACGTCGCATGGTGCTTGTGATACTTTGGCCGGAAAATGACGACACTAGTCGCTCGCCGTAAACTTCGATAGTGCTTAAAGACATTTTAACCCTGGTAACTTGTGTGTGCGATTTGTTCAGGGAAAAATGGTAGAGATGTCAAGAAGTACGAGTCGTGGAAAGATGTTGAATCGATTTGAAAACGATTTTAAAAACATAAACATTTAATAATATTTTAGGTGCAATATAAACAAACATTATCTTCTGTACATCTATACAAGAGAAATCTATAATGCGGATGAAAACTGAGATTGAGTCTCGAATATGGGAGTTGAGTTGGGCACTTGGTATAATTGACGCGAAATAGATATTACATAATGTTCATTTTCATCGTACAAACTAAATTGCAATCAAAAATTTCAAAAAAATCACAGCAAGTTCAAAATAATTAATATTAACAACATTTGAGAGGTTGACTTTCAGCGACCGTTGCTCACGAAACTTTAGTTTCTGTTTCCACCACAGTGTCTTCCAAAACACATCGGAACAACTTGGCGCATGTCAGGTTGAAGTTATCTAAAAAAATAAGAAATAGAATCAAATTGAGTAAATGAATTCAAAACTAGTAAATTTTTCATAATTGATATCGACCTCGTTTGGGCTATTAAATCTGTTTGGGGTATTTTCTCTTGATTAATGAGTTAAATGAATCGAACTCAATGTACACTGAACAAACTCTCATATGAAACCTTCAAGACCCTCATATGTTCAGAGTTTATCAGTCATTACAAAGAAGTTTTTGTCTTAAAAATTGTAAACTCATTAGCAGACTCAAACATTTTGCATGATCTCTTTCGGGTATATAGGGCAGAGAATAAGACCATATAAGTAACCAGTATACATTGAATAATTCTGTGAAGTTAGATAGTAAAATTCTTAAAACTGAGCAAGAACAATACTAAAATATTTAGTCGTCAGGAATGAATATTAATGATAACACCATGTGTACGTGCTTTTTCCTCATAAAAATTAATTGCCCTGGTAAAAATTGGCAGTAGATTCTGTGTTCTAAAATACCGTAGACCTAACAACCGGCTGTAAGATTTCCAATAGCTTCTATAGCCGGCTACACAATTTCTTATAGCCTTCTATAGCCGATGGCGATTAAGCAACAGCCAGGCGATAAAGTGTATGCTAAACGTTACTAATTACGGATGCTAGGACTTAGTGAGTTTTTGGACTACCACTCTCTTTTTGGGCCGTAGTATCTTGATTTTTTTTGCAAGGAAAGTTCCGTACTTTTGATGGATGCCTGCCATTCCTAATATATTAGAGCGCCTTCAGTTTCGTATGATACTGTGCAATACTTCTGGTGTGAAATAGTTGCTTCAAGCGCCGTGCCACACTGCGGTGCGGCAGGCGGGCAGCCAGTGCGTCGCCGCTCCGCTTTGTGTTGGGCTCTAATATTTAATCTGGCGGAGTCAGCGTTATTCAACTCATGATTTTGAAATGTTTGCACACATCCATTATTATTCTCATTTTAATTGACGAAAAAAATATGTATTTAAGGAAAATATAATGTGTGTTTTGTAAATATTAAGGTGGTTCCGTATCAAACTTAACGATTTCCAAAGCACACGAATTTCTACACAATTTCTTATAGCCTTTTATAATCGATGACGAAAAAGCAACAGCCAGGTGATAAAGTGTAAAGCCCAGCGATAGGAACTACAGCCCGGCTGCATAATTTGTTATCGCTTCGTATAGCCCGGCCGTATGATTTTCTCCGCATTCTACAGCCAGCCATATTATTTTCTGTAGCCTTCTTTAGCCGGCTATAAGAATTCCTATGGTATTTTGAAACGCAGCTCTTATCGCCAATTTTTACCGGGGTGCTCGAGGGGTGGGTTTAAAATATCTAATATTCGACTTTTACATTAGAACTTAATGATCCATGATCGTGCACCATTTCAACGATTCACTTGCCAAGAAACCTCAAGCTCACACGAAGAAAATAGTACACTCCACTTCCCTTAATTCCCTCTCTCAGTGGAAATATTCTAAGGCGTGCCCAAGCTCGATGGACCAAGGTCAGTCTGTTAGGAAAGTTGAGTGTGATGATCTTTGCAGAACCGCGCACAGTGGTCCGAGTCGATGAGAAAGGTTGGATAATAATTTTTTTACTCAAACCGCAAATTTCAACGTTTATTTTGTCAAATTCTAGATTTTGACGGGTGATTCTTGAAGTAAATTTTACAAGAAAACCAGTGGGGCCATTTTTAAAACCTCGACATCTTCTGATAACGGAGTTAAAAGCTTTTAAAGTTTTCAAACTTTGTCCGACTTTTCCCATTAACTCAATCCACTGTGCGGCGACGAGGGTTGACCACGCTCCCGGAAGATTCCGCAAATCCGAGTACATTCTCCTTATGCAGATCGGAAAGTTTAGGGGTAGGGGGGGATTTTGCAACGGAGCAGCGCAAAACGAGGGAATATTTGGAAAGTTGTGAGAAGCAAATCGGGGGAATTCGTCGCCAGATCGGGAAATTCCCAATAACATCTTGTTATCGGACTGACCTGGGTTTGCCGACCTTGCGTGTGCTTCATTGTAAAGGGTCAAAAATAAAAAATAATGAAATAAATTTTTAGAGAGAATACCGTCACTTACCTATAATATACCTGAACCATGATGGTTTTTGTTCCCAGTAAATAAAAATTAAGTATATTGGAATGCCAGAAAAGATAAACGCAAGTCCTACTCCAACCTCTACTGGAGTTACGAAAATTGGTAGTACAACCAAAAATGAGCAAATTACGAAGAAAATCAACGGCAATATTATGTTCACCTGAAATAAAACAATGTAATTATCTAAAAGAAGTTAACTCGTAAACAAGTAATATCCTTATGAATAGATATAAAGTCGCGTGATTTAACTTGTTAATGCACTAGTCGCAGAAAATTCTGTAATTAATAATTTCTTCATTTATATTATTATTTGCAGTCAAAATACGCTAGTAAAAATGGTAAGTTGAAATAAATCTAAAAAATGACGTTGAAAGTATTGTAAAAAACTGAAGAGAAGAATTGACTTAATTTTATCCCTCTTTTCAATTTTACAGTATAGGAGTATACCCAGTGCACTCATAGCTTTCTCAAAATTTCTGAGGATGTTTACACTTTATTTGTTCTCATGTGCTTCCTCTCAAATTGTGTGGTTAAAATAAACTCATAGACCACAATAAATTCATGCACGACAATATTGAGTCTTATTCCAGGAAAGTTTTGATAACGATTGTTGGTCCATTTATTTATCATATTTTGTCAAGGGCACCACTTACTAATTAGTGATTATAAGGAAAAATAACAGGTGTGAAGCCTCGTAAAGACCCAACGTTTACTAATACATTTCATTAATATATTAATGTACCTAAGTTAGAAAACCCGAGTAATTCGATTTTATAAGACTAAATACGTATAATATTTTGCAATGGAGTAAGGTTTACCTTGATCGGCCTTTGTGCATTTGGTCTCTTTACTCGGAGCCAAAGAAGACCCGTAATAGAGAAAAGGGTTAGTAATGCCTCTACAAAGACTGTATACGTGATCAGAGAGTATATGTCTTTGATCAGCATTTGACATAAGGTCACACTGCACTGAAACAGAATAAGTGATCATTATTCATTAGTTCGTAGAATTTTATATGTTGAACGAAAAATAATATGGGCAATCAAGAGAGGAAAATTCTCCACAGAGGAAAAATTCCAGACTCAGAAAACCTTTAAAAAATCAAAAGCGAGAGGCCTTAATAACCTTTCAAAGCTATCGTCCATAGTATAAGCCTACCTGATTTCGGTTTGCCCCTCAGGCCACAAATGTACATTGCAAAATGCAACTCAATATTACACGTATTTTTTTTAAAAATATTTAATTATTTTTTTATTTTTTATTTTTATTTTTTTCTTCCTTTTCTTTTTTATCTTTTTTCCTTCTTATTTCTCTCTCCTTTTTTTCTTGCGTAGTGAATTAGTGAATGAATGTCCTACTAACTAGAATATAGTAATTGTGGTGCTTACCATGAATATCAAGGATGGAACAGGTGTGCTGTGCTTAACGTTAATTAAGGCTATAGCCTTCGGCAAATGTCCATTCCTAGCACCGACGAAGAACAATCTAGCGGATGCAAAAATGGCGCCGTTCAGACCTCCAAAAGTCGAGCACGCCACAAACAGTGGCATAACCCAGGCCATCGGACCGAAGAGTCTATTTGCAAATGTCTGCAAAAAAAAGAGCAAATGAACAGTCCTCAATCAGAGTCATTCGAAGCTGTTCCGTAATCCTCTTCTTTATTTTCTTTTTGTTACGAAAATTACACATGAAGTGTAAACTGTGAATCATCCGAGTTTATATTTTAAGAGCCAAAACCAGTTGGCACAAACTTATCTCACCCATAATATCGTCAGATTGAGCAATTTCTTTTGTATTGGAAGAAAAACCTGATTATCTATTAACAGTCTCTATTTTAATCGCTAAAAACTGTAAAAAGGCAAAAATTACCCTGTAAATTTCATATTTTTTCATGGTTTCAGTAATTCCATTGCAAAGGATGAAAATGCACAATCTTAGTATCATTGCAATTCTTCTGGTTCCTTTTTGCAAAATGCAATCCATTTTACCGTACTCTACTAAATCAAATCGGAGAGCCTTCAAAGTAGTATACTAAATACGTCTATGTTCGTGATACAACTATTCGAACGTAACGGCGCTTGGGTGGTGCAGCGAAAAATTGAAGACGAAACTTAGCTCCAGAGTGCAATGCTAGGCGGAACCGCCTATGGGTTGCGTACTATCGCCGCCGGGACGGTTTTTGCACCACGACCGATTGTCTATCAAGGAGATTGACGGTCCACGAAAAGTTTTTTTTGGTGCGGCACAGTTAGATAAATGGTTCCTTGAATAATAAGTTTGATAACCATTTATAATAAGTAAAGCAGCGCTTTATCAAACAACTTTTCTATGGCTGGACAAATTTACAAATATTAGTCCAGCAATACTTAACCAATGGCTGAAATGGAATGTGCTTTTTTTTTGGTATGAGGTACTTACAAAGGGGGGAGAAAGAGAGAGAAAATGTGATGATATGAATAAACTTTTCTTACCACAGCAACTGCGCTGGATTTTAGAATTTCATCTTTTGTCAGCGCTACAAAATATGCTACATTTGTAAATAAATAGACGACAGTGACCAGCGGCAGAGATATGCAGATCGCTTTAGGCAGGTTTCTGAAAGCAAAATTAGAAACAAAAGCTAGTCTTTATCCAAATTTTTATTTCTCTAATTATATTCAGAGCGAAGAAAAAGAGCTGAAGAGGTATGGGGGGTAAAATAACGAAGATGTTATGAGCAAATTAAAACCTGTCAGCTTCTTACGAGCATTAACTCTCAAAAATATCTTTTCATTGGCATTTATCAGAGGATTTTAAGGTATACCAATTATTTCATCCATATCAGGTTTAATTAAGCACTTAATTGATGCTAAAATCGTGAGCATTGATACTGTGCAGAATTTGTAGGCGTTCTTACTGATCCTAAGTTCTTAATGTCTAAATGAACCAGTACGCCCGTCACGATTTTAGTAAAGGTTTGAACGTTACAATGACACCTATAAAACTGCCGTCCGAAGATAAGAGACAGTCGATGATTATAGACGACCATAATTAAAATGAATGTAAGAGAAAAAATGGGTTTAATGTTAGAGGGAGATGAAGAAGAGAAAACAAAGGGAAAAACGAATTTGGAATTCGAGCAATTCATTTTCGCTCGTGAGTTTATTATCTCTGATTATTCAAATAGATCATTCTCATACTTGACTTCTACTTCAACACAAACATACGCGTACATCTGTTTAAGTCAGGGGGATATCGAAGCAAAAGTCCCATTAATATGACTTCCATATTATAAATACCTAAAAACTTGCACGAAATTGCTCAATCACCAGACTCGGTTTTCAGGCTGATACTTACTCATAAGGGTTCTTGAGCTCCTCCGTCACGAAATTCAAATAATTCCTAAAAAACACATAGAATGAAGTGAGCATTAATTTTTTGGCGATACTAGTAGTAACAAAAATGCAAATAAAGGAACTATGCTGATGACCAATTCACTAAATAGCGGTAAGAACTGATCTGTCATCAATCATACTCTATTTGTGATTTCCAATCATTATAGATTTATTACGCGCGCACGTATGCGACTCTTGTTGAACTTGGTATTTTAATTTTTGAAAATACTCGAGTTCCGACCTGATGTATGCTTGGAAAATAGATTGAATTTATCTACAACACTGAAGTTTTATAATGAATGGTGTCATTGCATTGTATGTATGAGACGAGCCCTACTCATAATTAAAAATTACTGCAGGTTTTCTAAAATTCTGACTTATTAAAACTCCTGAAAACAGACTCAGACTCTTCAAGGCAGTCCAAACCAAAGACTCTACAATGCAAATATGACAAATCGCAGTTATTCCCTATATTATTCTTCTTCTTTTAATGCGCCTTCTCTGTCAAAAGGTGTGTCATATTTTCAGGGCTGGATTTACCTACTTGCCGCCCAAGGGTCCGCCTGTATTTTGCCGCCCCCTTCTCATTCAGTCATTCGTTTTGATACATCAATAAAAACCATCAGGTGAACGTGACGGAGGGGGGAGGGGGGCATAAGACGCGTTTACTCGTGTTGGACACATTTTTTGCGAAAGCCCTGTCAACACTACCAGCAAAAGTTTATGGAACTTTGCGCGAAAGTTAGGTTTATTAGAAATGACGAAAAAATTATGAAAGAACAAACATAAATATGGTTTAATAATTTCCACTTCCGCCGCACTGCGCTGACCGAACTGTGTTTTTGCGCAATGCGTGAAGTATTCTTGCAGTCTTGCAGGCGCTATGCGTTTCGCGTCGATCGCTGCTGCCCGCACTGTGTTTGACGCAATGCAGGGAGTATTCATGCAGCCTTGAAGGCGCTAATATGTGTTTCATGGCAACCGCCTTGCCGAGGGCTTCTCCTTTTCATCTCAAGTTCTCGTCATCATTGCTCTCTGCACCGCGCCATTTCAGGCCAAATTGCGTGTTTGGTTTCTCTCTTAACTCGACTAATTAAAGGTGATGTCTCTTGTATCACCGAAAGACGATGAAATTAGAAATTACTAGACTCTCAGGAATTGAGAGTTTTTGTCGCCTTTTCTCGTTTGCAATTTTTTTTCTGAACCCGATTTTTTTTATACCTAAATTTAAAAAAGTGCAATATTTGCCGCCATGGGCCGCGGCCCATGTGGCCACCCTTTAAATATGGTCCTGCATATTTTTGGTGAGGTAAAACCTGGTAGCTTATACAAGCTGTTAGTGTGCATTTTAAAACCTAATGCAAAGTGACGATCGAAAAATGTCGGTTTTTTTTTTTTTTTTTTTTTTTTTTTTAAATTACTTACACGAAAAAACAACTTAGCGCTATGAGCCCTAACACTTCAGATTAAGTGAAGCCAAATAAGGGCAGCAAGGCTAAGCCCTACAGGCTGCAAGACTGGAATGACCTAAAGCCGTAAGGCTGGGTCCTGAAGTTGTAGGGCTGGGTCCTGAAGTTGTAGGGCTAAGCACTACTACCTTAAGTTGGCTCCATTTGATCTAAAATGTTAGGGCTCAGAGCTAAATTGTTTTTTTCCGTGACGAAGTTCCGACGCTCCAACTAAGCCCTTATGAAGAGTTTCATCAGTTCTCAAATAATTTTCCAAACAATGAGATGCCTCCTACCTCAGGACTCAGGACATCTCGCGACGTCTGAAAGCGACTATTCCTTCTCGTTCGACATGCATGTTGCATACCCCAAAAAATGAAGGCATTATGAAGCCGTTGCTTTCATTTGTTTGCCGTATTTTCGATTCCCATTCTTGTGATACAACATTATGGTGAGATAAACTTCCGATCTAAGAATGTTTCTTACCAGCCAGCGAAGGAAAATAGACCAGAGTAAACGGATAAAGCCAAATGACCAGGATCATAGTTGCTTCCCTCGAACGGTCGCGAAATCTTCTCCGTTTTTCCATTCACAACGAGCCAAAGACCCGAGAGGATAATGGTCATCAGAGCAAAAATTTTGGTCAACGTAAAAACGTTTTGAACCTTGGTGACCCATTTGACATTGTAACAATTAATGGCAGTCAATAAACCTGGACAAAATATGAATTCTGAAAATATTAAAACAGATTAATCCGTCTTAAAATTTGCACCTCTGCCGAAAATTATGAAAAATATTGTAATTTTCTCAATAGGTGAAACAACCTAATGATGCGCATCGAGGGGAACAAGCGTTCGATTCGGTGTTTCATAGTTGGGTGCCGGGCTTACATTACGGGCTACTTTACATGGGGCGATTATTGCAAATTGGTACAACTGCTTCACTTCAATTTAAATATATTATTAATAATTGATTTTAGGTGGACCTGTCTCGGTAAATATTGATTGTCTCACATAAATTTAAAGAACAAAATTCATTGTTTCTGACTTGTAAAAATACTGATGTGTTAGTTTGGAAAAGGGAGATGAAGACATTGCAAAACGGGTTACGGAACAGTGGCGTTGCGTGCTTTGCGATGTAACGACCGATCCGCCATTTAAATCAACCAAATATGTTTTTAATGGATAAAAATATTATATGAACAATCAGATCACAAATCATGCTATACCGGTGCTTTCACCTATTAAGTTCCGCCCCCTTTTTATTTATAGTTGTATGATATTTGAAACTTGATAAGAGCTCCTCATACTAGAGGTATTTCGTAACCTTCCAATCTGAAACTTTCTTGGTCACAAACTTTTGGTGAGTGAGAAAAACTTTTTAGAACAGTTTACTGATGATTAAGTCACCTGTGATCATCCACGGAAAAAATATCTAAAAATCAATATATTGACACCACTGGTTGCAGCTGAGGTTTTAACGAGTATTTAAAAAACGCCCAAAAATATCAAAACCAAATATAATTCGTAGGTATTTTTAGGTAGTGAACTATGAAAGACACACTTACAGACAACTACGGCAGCGATGAGTCTGACCGCCAGGTAGGGCGGTTCGCAGTCAGGCCAAATCGGTTGCAGAATGTATTGAGCAAATGTGAGAGCCGTGATAGCGTTGCTGGATGGTAGTATCACCATCAACGCCACCCAAAGAAAGAGGAACGCTGGCAATGGACCGAAAGCCTCGTTGATATACGCGTAATCACCGCCAGATTTTGGGATCATCGTTCCTGCCAATCAAAAGATCCAATCGTTGATTTAATTTTTTGGCTTAGCAACCACTTGTTCGATAATACATTCATCCAGGGTAAATGGAGAGAAAAACCTCGGTTAAATTAATGGCACTTTTCGATTCGAAGGGCACAGCCGTTATTCGAAAAATTGCCACCTGCCGGCCAAAGTATCGTAAGAACCATGCGACTTTTCAAAATTTCCGCTGCCATTTTATATTATTACAGAGAAATTAGTGGTTGAATCTGTTTGAAAATTTCACTCAAATTAATCGGCATTAAATTTCACTAAATTTTATCGTCAGCAAAAAGAAAATTCAGTGAAATTTTCGGACAACTTCGTTGAACGATTTCTCTGTAAAAAAATAAAATGGCGGCGGAAATTTTGAAACCTCGCATGGCGCTTGCGATACTTTGGCCGAGAGGTGACGAAATATGGATGCTTGTTGGAAGAGTCACAGCTCTTGGCAGTTTGAAATACTCACAATCTTCATTAAAGCATTATCTAGAAGAATCTACGTTGCTATACTAGGTTGATTCGGTTTTTATAAGCGAAGCAACTATTCGGCCTCCGCGGCCATGCGGTGGAGTATCTTTTCTTAATGAAGGCGTTTTCTGTGCGTCATTGGGTTTTGAAATGATGCAATTGTTTGGCTTCTGAGGCCGACACCACCCACCGTCCACTAGGCGCAACACTGTCTCCAGATGGACCGTGTTTAGCAGAGAGGAACCAAGCTACACCAGCTATTGCCAAAAACCGGGCAATTTAATTTTTTACGTTTGTGCGGATTTCTTGGAAAATTTTGAAGGATTTGTTTTGTACCATGTACTGGAAAAAAAAAACACATTAGATCTAGAGTCCAGACTCTTGAAAACATTCATAAGAAAAAGGACTCTTGATTCAATCAGATTTAAGCTTAAATCAAAAGAAAATCCGCTCAAATTAAGAGGCTTGGTTCTTGATTTAAACTTAAATCTGATTGAATCAAGAGTATCTTTTCTTGTCGATGCTTTTAAGAGTCTGGACTCTAAATCCAATGTTTTTTTTTCCAGTGTGCAAAACATTTACTGAAATTTGCACCAAAATCCGTACAACCGTTTTAATGTAATAAATTGAATTAAACTAGATTTTTATAGATTTTTTTCTAGAGTTTTTTCTTTTTTAAATTTGTTTGTTTACAGCTTTTGCTTTCACTTTTGAGCTGTGCGCGGTAACCTGGTTGCAACAAAGGATGCAGCAATGCCGTTGTGACTGCTCACTTTAACCGGGGTCAATTCTTGAGGTAATGGGATCAAAGGTTTATGGACCTAGCAATATATAACCCCGAGAAGTGTAGAATACAAGCGATTCGCGGCTCATCTGAAAATGAACGAGTTTCTTTTTGACGATCATCAGTTATATGGTCAACAGACCGGTGAACGCCGATTCCAAACGGTAGAGTAGTTGCCAAAGCACTCAGAAAATGAATCGCTGCAATGTCGACAGTGCATACATGTTACACCCCCTCCTCTCGGAAAAGTTTGCCTTTCTACCCTCTCCAAGGATTCAGCAGAAATGGTACTCTAATAAGACAAAAAATATTCCTGAAATAATCCGATAATGATTTGAAAACCCTGTAAAGTAAATTTTTGAGTAAAATGGTTTGAAAATATTTACCTTGTTATAAAGTTTTGGTGTAATTTTTTGAACATTTACAATAAGAACATTTTAAATAACCGTCTAAAATACCGTTGAGAAATTCGCAAAAGCATATTTAAAATATTTTCGTGACAATAATCCCAGGTAAATAACAAGAATGTCAAACAAAAAGTAATTTCCAAAGGGCATCAGCGTGATCAACTATAATACTCTTACAATCTTGAAGGTAATTTAAAAATGATCCTTATTTATTACATCGCATCAATGGGTACCATTCGGTAGGAAAAAATTTGGAATCCCTCCCTACCACCCTTCGAAGTTGACCGCCACCAAGAATTGGTCAGTTACGCTGGTCACAAAATCGCGTTTTGATGTTGGAACCTTGTAGATCAGCTAAAAATAATAAGATCTGTCCACACAGCAAATTTCAATGATGAACATTAACCGAGATATCGCGCTTTGAAAAATTCGGTTTGTGATGTCATCCATCGCTATAGTGAGTGACACCCTTAGTTTCCTTCACCTTGCTTTCATCCTAGTTTCACGGTGAACAACCAGTGCAAATGTGCGTCACCTTGACTGATGGGAGCAAGAAAGAAGAAACCAAGGGTGTCACTACCGCGGTAGATGACGTCAAAAACTTCAATTTTCAAAGGGCGATATCTCGGTTAATATTGAACTTAGAAAGTTGCTGTTGGATAGATCTCACTATTTTTAGCTGATCCACAAGAATCAATCATGATTGTGACCAGCGCAACTGACCATTCAAGGGTCGGACTGGCTCGCATCTGAGGGCGTAGACCCTTGGCTGGTTAAAGGGGCGTAATGTGATATTTCCTGGTAGGGCATTCCCTCCGTGGAGAGGCGTTCAGAAAATTTTGGCAAATCAGCACAAGTTTACGCTATTTTCAGGTTCAAAGTTTATTGATCGCGCAGAGTAAAAACTGCAAAATTGAAAGTAAACCACAGCATTGAGAGCTCACGCTTCGCGTCATCGCGCCTTCAATTTTTCAGATGCAGCAAGGACGTCCATCAAGTACGAATAGTTGTATCTCTGCGCCGTCGTTAACGCGCATCCTTTCCCTCGCTTTATTACCATATTGTGTTTGTTTGCGTTTGTCTTATTTGTAATGTTGCTTTAAACTAGAGCAGAGCATTGCGAGTTCACGACTCACGGCATCGCGTCTTACATTTTTCATATGCAATGTGAACATCCATCTTGCGCTAATACTTGTATCGCGTTTACATTTTAGATGTCTCTTATTTTTTAATTTCGAGACAAATTAAGGTTAAGTTTGCCCGAGCTATGCTATGGTATGTCCAAATCAACAGTCATTTGAAAAGGAGGAAATATGTTTAAAGGTCTCTTAAGAGGTCTAACTCTCTCCTCTTCCGTTCATTTAAAAAAATTTCTCACATATTCTCGGTCGTAATTTTTTTTCTTCTTATTTTGCATCCATCTGTAAGAGGGGCGCGTTTTCGGCGCCGAGAGGGGGCGTATCTGCCAATGGCAGATTGGCCTTATGGCCAGTCCGAGCCTGGACCATTCGGCTGGATGCTGGAATGATGCTTGGAATCTACCACTATTACCCTCGGAGTTTGGCAACGCCGGGTGCAAATGGAGATGGTTCCAGAGCATCGGGAGCATCCAGAGATCCGATCCGGGAAGATTATGCAGATTCGGGCTCAGGCGAGAAGAAGGCAGAGACGAGACGGAGCGGGGATAGGTTCCGTGATAGCGAAGAGAGCAGTAAGTGCATGCTGGGATGAGCCCCGAGACACATAAAAGCATGTGCTAATCGTGGCTCATACAGAATTGCACTTACTGCTCTCTTGGCTATGACGGGAGATCGGTGCCGGTGCCTGTGCGGGCACTTGAGTGTCAAGAAAGAGATTAATAAAGCGCCCTGCCTCGATTGGACACTTCCGATTTGCCATCTCCACGACTTGGGCTGTTCTGTTTTCTGTTTCAGTCCATTCAGTCCGCTCGCTCGTGCCCGATGCGCGTCCGCATTTGGGATCTCCTCTCCCGACCCATTGGACTCTGTATATGCCCTACTTTTGGACATGAAGAAACAGAATCACGGGTCCGTCCCTTAGTCACCACGCTATCCAACCTCAGGGGGTTGTAGGTCGGTTGCGCTGGTCACACACTGGAAAAAAAAACACATTGGATCTAGAGTCCAGACTCTTGAAAACATTGACAAGAGAAAGGACTCTTGATTCAATCAGATTTAAGCTTAAATCAAAAGGAAATCCGCTTAAATTAAGAGGCTTGGTTCTTGATTTAAGCCTAAATCTGATTGAATCAAGAGTCCNTAATGAGTCAGTAAAAAGTGATAAGATCAGTCCAAGCGCCCAAGTCTCTTCTACGTATAAAGGGCCGTCCATAATTTACGCCACCCAAGTAGGGGGGGGGGGGGGGGTCGAACGGTGGATGACGGTGGGTGACGGGGAGGGAGGGGGGTTCAAACTAAGGATGACGTATGACGTAAGCTTTCCTGAAGGCAAAATGGCTGAAAATGCTTGCTTGAAATTTGATTATTTCTACTGATTTTTATCGATTTTCTACGTTTTCCCCCGAAAAAAGGGGGGCACGCTACGGATGACGTAATTTTAAGGGGAAGCGAGGGGTCTAGCAGTAGATGACGGTTGGATACGGCGAGGGAGGGAGAGGTCACAAAATTGAAAAACTGGGTGACGTAGTTTGTGAACGGCCCCGAATGTAGTGACGAGAAACCCCTCCTCTGGCCTCTTGGCAACAGGTGGAAACCTATACTTTCGAAGATTCTACACCTCCTCAGACAATTATAATTAAGGGAGCAACAGTCATCACCCTTTTTCCAACTGTTGACTTATCTACTAGGTGGATGATGAGCTTTGGGAGACGCAATGAACCAAAAAATTTTGCCAGACTTCGGTATGTTTGCAAAACGCAATACACAACACGTTGTTCGACACCCACCTAATAGGTCAAGTCAACAGTTGAATGTTGGAGTCTGGGTCCCGAAAGTAAAAGCTTCCACCATTTCCAGGATAGCGATGGGATGGGTCTCTTTTCTCTGAAAAGAGAAATCGATAAAATTCATTTGAACGCGATTCTGTGACCGGCGCAATTGATCCATTTTAGAAGCCAGGTCTTAATGATTCCAAAATTTGAGGACATAGCCTCCTGTAGCGATCATTTGGATGTATTTAAATCAAAAGGAACTATGTCAATTGTGACATGGATCCTGTCATGTAAGTATTCTAATGGCTAATAGGGCTCATGTCACAACGTATACAGGTCCTCCGATTTACGGACGTCCATTATTTGTGACGCAACAGGGTAAAATGTGCGTGAGGTGGTTAGGGGGATGAGATAACCATCAGCATCACAGCTTGGCGGGGATTAACTTCAGTGGCGTGGCGCGCTTTGCGATGTTTCGATTGATCTGCCACTTAGGCCTATAGAAAAGGATCATTTTATAGGGTGTTCGCAACGAGCACTTTAATAATCGATTCTTTACCATAGCTTCAAATGCGGAAATATCGATCATCGATCATTCCCGCCTCGCCTCTGGTCGCTTGACGTTATTTATTTTATGGGGGGGGGCCGAGGTAGGTACTTGATTACAAGGTAGAATGTAAATAAATTATCGTCATCTTGACATGGACAATACCAGAAAGCCCCTATTTTGGTTTGCAGTTGTGTAACTTTTTTGTCTGGCTACCTACAGTTCATAAACTTTCTTGTGATTTTTTATGTTATTTCAAAAATACTCTCTACTTTTATCAGGTAACACCCTCATTAAAAAATCGATAAAAGGGGAAATTTTGAAACGCAACGCAATAAATTTTTATCGTTCTACCATCAACTCGCGAATAAATGTCATTTATGCGATCAGTATCAATTCGATAATTGCTGAAGGAATAAAGTTTAGTGTCTTGGTTTGCAATGTACCTCTTATGGGGTCGTCCATAAATTAAGTAAGGCTCTAGGGGAAAAGGGGTCGAGAAGAGCATTACGCCACTTTGTATTTACGTTCTAAAGGACAGGGGTCCACCTCACAAAAGCGTTACAAGGGGGGAGGGTCAAAAATGCCGGAAGAGTGCGTTACGTAATTTATGGACGGCCCCCTATCACTCCGTCTGTTCATAGTTTCTAACTCAAAATTTAAAAAAGAAAACTTTGAACTTGACTCTCACATTACATGTCTTGCCTGATTGCCCGTTGAAAATAAGAAGGAGTACATTGATCTATGAATGGATGAATGAGAAAGCAAGAACCAAAGTGAAAAATCAAAACATACGAAGTTTTTATGAATAGAGAGAGTGTTATGAATTCTCTCTCGAATTGGCACGATTTTTTCCTCGGAAGTCCATGAATGAAAATCAAAAATGCACAATAATCAGCAAATTTTTTCTCTTGTTTGTCAACTTAAAATCACCCGTGAGACTCGTTGACTTGATGTCGCAAATTTTCGCCGTCTTTCCTTATCAAACACAGTCTCATCTCACATGTCAATCATTTTTTGATACTTCCACCTGATAGTGACATTTAAATGGCTTCATTTCGTGGCACACTAATCAAGCTAAATGTTATAGCTATGTATGTAAGCGATCTCATTTTGATACCACCCGTGTGAGGTGGACACACCCAAAAAAAAAAAAAATAAAATAATCTCAATAGCTGAGCGGGTAAAATGAGGCACATTTTGAGAGGCTTAGAGGACAAGGCGCATAGGTGCAATTTTTGCTATTTCAAGAAACACGTGTTTAAAGTTTCAAAATTACACGGAGCCTTACGGCGGAAAGGCAGTTTAAACTCACTTTTTGATGCTTTAAAATTGAATTTAAAATTGGATTTTAGTTGTCAATTTTTCACAGAATATACTTACAAACTAGTTTGAATTGAGTTCATGAATATCTCAATTTTTCAAAAACTACCGTGGCTCTCAAGCCCCTTCTCTCTTCATTTGAGAAATCAAAGTTTCATCTATTTTACCAACATAATGCGTTGTAAACAAAATATATCAGTTGAAATTCAAATCGCGCAAGAAACGGAATTTTTCAGAATATGTTGTATTTTTACAACGGTAGGGGGTACGAGTTAATGTTTTGCAAGTCAAGACACGTGTTAAGGAAAACTACCCCCTTTTAAATGAAACTGACGAATGAGTAATTCATAGTCTCCCGTAGAACTAAAATACTGACGCTAATATAACAGTATTTTAAGAAATTCAGCCGTTTTTTTTTATTCGAGTTTTTTACAATATAAAAAACTGTTTAAATATTTCGAATTTAGTTAAACTAGTTGCACTGCTCGAGGCTGGGGAGGTAGCGCTTGGAGTTATAGGTGCGCTGTCAGTGCAAACATCATGATTAACAAATGTTTTATAATCAGTGGCGAGGCGTGACTGATAGATTATCGATATTTCCCCATTTGAAGCTGTAGTAAAGAATCGATTATTAAGAAGTTCGTTGCGAATAACCTGTTTATAGATCCTTTTCCATAGGTGTAAATGGCAGATCAGTCGATACATCGCACTGTTTATCACGTCGCGTCGCGCATCGTTACGACGCACGACGACGCACAACTCCGCGACTTGGTCTCTGATCATTTGGTGACTTCATGCCTCATCTTCATCGCGATTCCTGATTATCGATATCAATAGATAGTGACACCTGTTTTCGTTTACATCCGCGAGATGGCGAAAGAACTGATCGTTTTCATTAGTTCCCGACTAAAAATCGCGATCAGAATTCAATGGGGTCTGCTCCGCAACGTTTCTTCGTTGGTGTACTTTAAGAAAATAGTACGGTTAATTTTTGAATGCCTGGACGTCAATCGTCTAGGTGATATAGCACTGCAACTCCCTTCACATACCTTCAATGAAATGAATTCATTACTCGTTAGTTGTCACCGTTTCGTGGATGGCAATCTGGAGCACTTAAAAAGCTACCCACTGCCATACTGTGAAGTAGTGGCGAGGTGTGAATGATCGACTTTCGACATTTCCCCATTTACAGCTATGGCAAAGAATCGATAATTAAGGTGTTCGTTACAAACACCCTCTTAATCGATCTTTTTCCATAGTTTAAATGGCAGATCAATCGATATATCGTAAAGCAAAAGCACGCCACACTACTATTATGATGCAACAAGCGACGGGCGCAAGCGCGGTTTGAGCTTTACTCAGCATATTACGTGCATTTTATTTCGCATTGCCTAATTATTTTACATGTTATTTTGTTTTTATTTTTTTGGAAACTCAGAAATATACTCCTTCAAAGTTACCGTAAATATCTCTCAGGTCCTGAAAAATATGCCTGAAAATTCACGGGGAATGTCACGTGGTTTTCTCTTTAAAATGTGATACAGGAGGGAAAATTTGGCAAATTATAAGTGTGTCGCATTTAGAAAAAAGGAATCAGCGCGATTACAGTGTTTTCAAAATCGTGCAACTTCCTCTTTTCTCTCAAAAATACCGAACCTATGCACAGTATTAAAATTTGCACCATTATTTTCCTTTAAAATTAATTTTTTTTTTAGTGGGAAGCAAAAACTATTTGCTATTCTAAGAGAGTTTGTGGATAATTATGAAGGAGCAACATTTTTACAATACTGTAATCGCGCTGGTTCCCTTTTGCTAAATGCGATCCAGGTGATTTGCGTCTAGTTAGGCTGATTCTAGCTCAAAGCTAAAACCCTTTGTGATGAGAAAATGACCACGCCTGTGGCTTTCGTCTGTTCATTTCTTTTCTTTCGGTTTTTTGCCATAATTTATTTAATTTTATCCCTCCTAATTTCTCATTTTGACTAATGCGATGACCTACGCAGCCTCCTACGTAGCAGGGTTTTCAAATTTCATTGTAAAATATTGTCATCTCAAAAATAAACCACAAGCATGACGAACAAAACCAACACAATATTCAAATATAGCGAGGGAAAGGTTGCGCGTTGACGACGGCGCAGAGATACAACTATTCGTGCTTGATGGATGTCCGTGTTGCATCTGCAAAATTGAAGGCGCGATACCGCTAGCAAAGTTCTGCCTTTCCCGGGCGCCTTCACGCGTCAAGAGTTCTACAACCTGGGTTTGTCAGAGTCAGACGATGGTCAAACCCGGCTCTAAATAGGTGCTTTACTTCTCGATGACAATACTGCCATGCTGATGAAGAACGCCGTATGTGCCTTCAGGCGCTGCCAAGTTTCCCTCAATAAAAACCGAATTTATTGAGAAACTGTAAAATATTTTTCTCCAAACTCTCAGACACTTTTAAACGCAATTTAATACACAATTTTTGAAAATCTCAAGGAAATATACGCATAAACGTTGTCACAAAAATATGTTTTATCGAGGGAAATTCGGCGACTCTCGAATGATCATACGCACGGAAAAAAATTAAATGTTGATTTAGCGTTTATATTGTTGAAAACATGTCCGTCGAATTTCAAATGCTGATTTTACATTTGTAGACATTCTAACTTTACTACGCCCGATGTAAAACGAACACATTCAAATGTTAAGTTAGCATGTTTGTATTGTAAAATCGACGTTTAAAACTCGCCGGACATTTTTTTTACCTATTTAAATGCTAAATGGATTGCATTTTGCAAAAAGGAACCAGAAGAATTGCGATGATGCTACGATTGTGCATTTTCATCCTATGCAATAAAATTACTGAAACCATGAAAAAATATGAAATTTACATTGTAATTTTGTCTTAAATTTACAGTTTTTAGCGAGTAAAATAGAAATTGTTAATGGTTTTCTATTTTTTCTTCTAAGACAAAAGAAGTTGCACAATCTTAGCAACATTGCAATGCTAGTGGTTCCTTTTTGCAAAATGCAATCCAAATGGACCGCATTAAACAGAAAGGAACCAAGCCACATCAGCTATTGCCAAATTTAACAGGGGAATCTGATTTTTTTTACGAGAGAACGTTTGTGCGGATTCCTTTGACAATTTTAAGGAATTTGCTTTGTATTATGGAGAAAATTCGTAGAAATTTGCACAAAAGTCCGCACAACCGTTTTCATGTAAAAAATTGAATTGCCCAGTTAAATTTGGCAATAGCTGATGTGGCTTGGTTCCTTTCTGTTTAACGCGGTCCAAATCAGCATTTCATTTTTTACCTTGCGGCGCTTCTCCTCAGGACGGCAGGGAAATGAAAAAGGAACTCACCGAGCTCGGCGTAGCACAAGGCCCCGATCATGGACAAGCCTCCGGACAGGAACCAGACGATGAGTCCGAGGCCGGCGGAGCCGGCGTTCTCGATGACCCCCTTGGGGGAGACGAAGATCCCGGCCCCGACGATGACCCCGACGATGATGGCCACGCCGTCCAGGAGCCCGATCTCCTTCTTCAGCTGCACCGGCCCGTCCACCCCCGACCCCCGCGCCTCCGCCGACGAGGAGGGCGCGTTCAGCGTCCCCGCCCCCGCAGCCCCGGGCTCGGCCATCCTATTTACAGTTACTTACTACTAAGTAGTACTACTAAATTACTACTACGTTAAGTACAAGGAAGATGGGTTCCAGGTGTTGGAGTCACATCTTGCGGTGGGGGCGGCCCAGCATCGTCCGGTTGGAGACCGAGCCACCGCGAGTCACGGGGGAGGCTCAGGCGTCGCTGGTCCCTAGAAAGAGTCAAAACAGAACAAGTTAGTGCTCGAGTCCCTTTATAGAGAAATAGAGAGAGTTAAGACAACGCGGCTCGTGGATATCGCAAACGGGAATGAAGATTACACAAACTGATCGCGGTGGACGCACGGGTCGTAAGACAGTATGTTGGAATGGACCACTAGATAAGGTACGAATTTCAGCATTCTGATACATGTTTCTTGACCAAAATTTTACGTAAAATACGATACGCACAACAAAAATTACCGAAATTAACTCCTTACGAAGATATTTAATGATTCTTTATGCGTGAATTCAAACTACCCGCTCATGAAAACTCAATGGTCTACGTGATTCACATCGCGCGCTAAACGTTATCATGACAGTCTCTGCGATATAAAAATCTGGCAACCTCAATCTTGACGCTTTGGCTCAGTTATAGCAAATTGCTAATATTTTGAACAACACATGATGGAAAATGAACATTGCTCGATTGAGAAGCTTGCTGAAACCGTTGTAGTGGGCGATTTGACTCACGTAGAGTTTTGAGTTTCTTGTGAGCGGGCAGTTCAAATTCCTCGTAACCAATGTGAAATAAAAATGTTAATATCTCCGTTAGGAGTTAGTTTCAGTAATTTTCGTAGCGCAAATCGTGTTCTACGTGAAATTCTGGTTAAGAAACATGTATCAGATCGCTTAAATTCGTACCTTGTCTAGTGGTCCATTTTTTGCCAGCGTGCGTTAAAATGCAGCATAAAGCTGAAAATCTCAATACAGAGGGAAAAAACTCATATGAGTACAGTTTTCCCTCGAAGATATGTGCTCGTATGAGCTCTTTCCCTCTGTATTGAGATTTTCAGCTTTATGCTGAATTCTAACGCATGTTGGCAAAAAATTCCAACATGCTGGAATGGAGATTACACAAATTGAACGTTTTTTCGCAATCTTTGATCAACTCATCCCCGAATTTCTGGCTCCGTTCCTTCACTCATTCTGTTTGTTCCTTGCCGTTCCCCCAATTTCCCGGTCCATTTCAGTTTATAATCTTTGCAATCGGTGAAAACGTAATCTTTATTCCCGTTTTTGACACTGTGAAGGCCCATAGGGAACCAATCAGAAATTGACTCGTATTGTCTTTAGTCTTAGTTTAAAAGGACTCTAGTTATGCAAGATGTGTTGCGTCCTCGTCACTGAGAAAAAAACTTTCGGGTCATATGAGCCGAATGTACAGTGTCCAATATCGGCCGAATTGTTCGGTTCATGTAACCGCTCTCTCGGTTCTGGGAAGTTGAGAACCGTAACCTCGGTTCATGCAACTGAGCATTTAAACCGAACAGGACTAACGAAAAAGCTCGGTTGCACGAATCGAGGATTCGGTTCCCAGGGCCGAGAGAGCGGTCCCATGAACAGAACAATACGGTCGATATTGAACACCGTACTTGCGGTTCATACGGCTGAACTTTTTTCTCAGTGTACATGGGGAAATCGTCGTCGTCCAGACGCGAGAACTTAGTTCATTGCGGCGTTGCCGAATGTTGCTAAAAATTCCTTTTTTACTCAGAAATAATTGAAAATTTCTAGGTGCAAACCTCACAGATTTTTCCACGAATTACGGCGAATAATTAGAAAATTTTGGTGAGGAATTGCGCCGCCATTTTTGGGTGAAAAAAAGTGCGTTACAAGATTTTGAAACCCTAGAATAAGGATGCTTGGGTAAAAGCTAAGCATCCCTAGACCCCCTCCACCAATTTTTTGAAAAATAACTGAAAGTAGGTACTGAAAAATAGCAGGGGGGAAAATATGTAACGTTAAAAATTGAAGAAGTAAAACACTTCTGTAACTTCTAAACATGTCAAAGTTTTCAGGTTTTCGGCAGCTTTAATAGTGAACTATCGCTATTGGATGCCCTATTTGGTTTGTCTTGGCCCTTTCCTTTTCCCTTGTCAGAAACGTGCCAGCGGGCCGATTATTGAAAGGGATCGAAAAAGCTATAGACAAAGAAGACAAAGAGATCCTATTGGTGGAAGTGGATGGTTGCAATAGACAAAGGAGTACCTAGGTAATAGACTAACTAACGGTCCATCATTTTCTCATCATCATGGAATCTCAAATGAAAACACTGAATGCGAGTTTGGCGCGAGAAATTATAAGAGCGAACTTAAATGGTTTTGAGATGATTCAAACCGATTGTATTTTATAACTATAACCTCCATTCCATTCGAACATTGTAATTGCTTCCAGAAAAAACATTAATGAGCCATGCGCACCCTCGCTGTAACATGCATGAAAGCAATTAATGGTGATGAATTCAGAGAGTGAAGGGAGGAAGAAAGTTAGAGCATGGCTCAACCAAAAGAGAGCTAGGGTATTAACAACCCCCATTGCGAAAAAGTTGCAGGAACAATGTTAATTTTTTGCGATTTTTAGACATTTTTACCCTTTTGACCTATCCCCCCCTCCCTTGAAGACATGTCGGGCCCATGGTGCCCCCCTTTCCCCTTGTCGAATGAAAATGTTTAGCGGCTCTACTGGGAAAGTAACTAATAATCCTGAAAAAGTCCTCGGTCCTGTACTAGATATCATAAAATTTCCAATATAATACGAGCGATGGCTTTCTAACTGGGTAAAGATAACATATGCTTGTTTCAAAGAGTTAAATTTTTACATACGTCGAATGATGTATGGCTGCTGCATAAGAGTATCGGCGACACTTTCACATTCGTCAGGCACTTAAAAAAAAAATAAACCAAGGAATCACTCAACCGACGACGAACTTCAAGGCAAATGCATCTTGTTCAAATTGCTAACCTCATTTTTTCGAGCAACGCGAATCACAGAACACAACATTTCGGCAACGGTCACTTGTCGCACAGCCGAGACAGCTAGTCGCCCACTGAAGACGTCTCGAATTTCATCAACTTGACAGATCATCTCTTCTCTCGTCTCTCTCGCATGCGGCCATTGTCCGGTCTTCCTCCGATCGTAGAACTCGCGTGCCATGATTCACGCGGAAAGCACTTAAAGGGCGAGGCATTTGCAAATACTTGGGATGAAAAGCTAACTTTTAATTTTGAAAGGTCGACATATTCTTCTAGCCGCATGCTCCGCTGCTCGTTCGAAAATTCCCGTCCGCGCTGTTTCCAACCAGCGGCGTGGCGTGAATTGCGATATATCGATCGTTATGCCATTTAAACCTATGGGAAAATATCGATAAATAGGGTGTTCGCAGCGAACACCTTAATAATCGATTCTTTACCATAGGTTTAAATGGCATAACCATCGATATATCGCAATTCACGCCACGCCACTGAACGATCGTGAATGTCAAGAGATTCCGAAAAATTGGGTGATAGCGAACAATGTTGGTAGTCCTGGGAAGAGGACGAGGTTGACTTCCATGAAACTATCTGAATGGAATCCAGGTATTCAACAGTTTTAAATTTCTGTGAAATGTCACATTTTTGCGTGGATTCAACAGGAATAACTATCACGGCTTTCCGGAGTACCTACTTGATATGTTAATGTTACTTCCACAATCGCTTTACTTTTTAAAGTGTGTCAAAACCCTTCATGCGCACCTTGTCGCGTGCAACTTAGGAGTCGTCTGGGATCGTTTGTGTGAAAGCACCTTTTTGAATACAGCTGATGATTTTTTTTAAGCGCGGTATGCATATGTATACCGCGATTTAAGATTGGAGCACGTTTCCGGTCGAGCAGAGATTACGGTTGTCGATTTCCGGTTAAGTAAAATTCGGCCGGACGATTGGTCGATTGGTTTGAGTTTCCGGTGGGTAAGATCACCCGTTGAGTAAAGTTTTGGTTAGCAGGGTTAGATCAGGTTTTTGGTTGAGTAGGATTTGTGGTAAATTTGAGTTTCCAGTTAATTTAAAGATTCAGTTAAGTGAATCAAGTGTCCCGTTTAATTGAACGATCCCAATTTTTAAATTGACGATTTGCGTTGTCCAGGGAGATCGTCGATTGTTGAATCCAAGAATTCCGAGGGATGCACCAGAAACAAAAAAAGGAACATCCATGCTGATTAGAAGAGAGAAAAGTACATGTAAACTTCAAGATGGAAATAAATACCTCTAAAATCTTTATCAGTGTATATTTCGCAGGCAGTCAGCAATAGCCGGCAATTTGCAAGCTCCGTACTTGTCAATTCGTCAAGTTGTAATTACGATAACATCGATGTAGTAAAGGTTTCTTTAGCGGAGAAATTCAAGGCACGACTTCAGCTTCGAACGCCTTCAAATCCAGCGATACTCTCCGCTTTGCCAAGGAGTTAGTTTAGTTGCTTAATCGAACCTAACACAGATTTTTGATGACATTTCACTAGTTGGTGCTAGTTGGCACCATGTAGGTATCCAAGAAGAAGGGGCTAACGTATGTTTGAATTCAAAGCATAATAATCCCTACTTCCAATCTCGTTTTTTCACTTTTAAACGATTTAATGTGTTGATTAAACACGAATAGATTGCAATTTGCCGGCGATTCTTAATTGCCTGCAACATATATACCTGAGAATGTTTGTGAAGAAATTAATTGAGAATAAAAATTGCTGACTGAACAATCACAATCACTGCCTGTGTCAATGTTAATTAAACAATACTAAAGCACTTTATCGATGGTGAAAGTGCAGAAGTGCGAGTCTCAGCAAAAACACAATTTTCCAGGAGAGTAAAAAAACTGTCTGCATTCCTCTTTATTGTCAGTAGAAGGGTAATAATTCTTGAGGATAGCAGGAATAAGATGATTTTTGAAACTCCATCAGCAGATTCAATAATTTCTCGAACTGTTATTGATGCAACTTTTAAAACTTGATGCATGTCCGTATCGCACCGGCTGAAATGCGAAACCACGTATCTCCATTGCGGTGTTTCAAAATTTCCGTTCTTATTTCATCTCTTCCATGAGAAACAATCCGAATTTACGACTTTAAATTTTGAACCAAAGCTTGTGCCATAGAATACGAAAAATCATGGAGAATTTAAGTTTTATGATGACCAGCTTCCCTACGAAAAAATAAAGTTTCTCAGGAAGTCTGCAACGTCCCAAGTGGAGAAACGTCGCCTCTCATTTTGTCCAAAAATATGTATGTAGAAAATTGAAGGCATTGTGACTGTCCTCTCTCAACTTATATTCGTCTGTAACGATAAACAATGGGACGCGCTTGCTACGGCGCCTTGATACAACTATACAACCTCGACGGATGTCCGTATTGCGTTCAAAAAATTGAAGGCGTTTTGACTCCCTGCTCATACTACCTGTAGTTGATTTGATACACAGACGCGTTGATCGGCGGTCACGGGGACTTGATGCAACTATTTAAACTTGATGGATGTCCGTATCGCACCGACTGAAATGCGAAACCACGTATCTCCATTGCGGTGTTTCAAAATTTCCGTTCTTATTAAGTCGTAAATTCGGATTGTTTCTCATGGAAGAGATGAAATATGAACGGAAATTTTGAAACACCGCAATGGTGATACGTGGTTTCGCATTTCAGTCGGTGCGATACGGACATCCATCAAGTTTAAATAGTTGCATCAAGTCCCCGTGACCGCCGATCAACGCGTCTGTGTATCAAATCAACTACAGGTAGTATGAGCAGGGAGTCAAAACGCCTTCAATGTTTTGAACGCAATACGGACATCCGTCGAGGTTGTATAGTTGTATCAAGGCGCCGTAGCAAGCGCGTCCCATTGTTTATCGTTACAGACGAACATAAGTTGAGAGAGGAAAGTCATAATGCCTTCAATTTTATACATACATATTTTTGGGCAAAATGAGAGGCGACGTTTCTCCACTTGGGACGTTGCAGACTTCCTGAGAAACTTTATTTTTTCGTAGGGAAGCTGGTCATCATAAAACTTAAATTCTCCATGATTTTTCGTATTCTATAGCACAAGCTTTGGTTCAAAATTTAAAGTCGTAAATTCGGATTGTTTCTCATGGAAGAGACGAAATAAGAACGGAAATTTTGAAACACCGTAATGGAGATACGTGGTTTCGCATTTCAGCCGGTGCGATACGGACATGCATCAAGTTTTAAAAGTTGCATCATTAACAGTTCGAGAAATTATTGAATCTGCTGATGGAGTTTCAAAAATCATCTTATTCCTGCTATCCTCAAGAATTATTACCCTTATACTGACAATAAAGAGGAATGCAGACAGTTTTTTTACTCTCCTGGAAAATTGTGTTTTTGCAGAGACTCGCACTTCTGCACTTTCACCATCGATAAAGTGCTTTAGTATTGTTTAATTAACATTGGCACAGGCAGTGACTGTGATTGTTCAGTCAGTAATTTTTATTCTCAATTAATTTCTTCACAAACATTCTCAGGTATCTCAAGTCCCCGTCACCGCCGACCAACGCGTCTGTCGATCGAAACCACGTATCTCGTTTGCGGTGTTTAAGAATCTCCGCTCCCATTTTATTTTTGTGAAAGAGAACAAACCAATATAATTACTTGAAGTTTTCGCAGATTTTCCTTCACACAGAGAAGAAAAATCACGTAAGTTTTCAAGAGATGACGTGGAGTAGTTTTCCATCTAAAAAATAAAGTAAGACAAGAAGTCTGCGACGCGACGTCACAAACCGAGATACGTGGTCTGGTGGTTTCACCATCGATATGAGACTTTGAAACACTGCAATGGTAGTATAGATGTAACTTTTTTGCTTAGCCTTATTCAATTTTGAGAAAAAACGTTACTTTTATACCTGGTCTGTTCTTTTGACGTTTTTCAAACGTCAGAATGCTGACAAGATCAAACAACTAGGTAAATAGTATCACTGGTGGTTTTTTGACCATAATTTTTCATCCCAAAATAGTTCAAACCGGAGAGACTTATCTTAATGCGTTTTTAGTTTTTTCTATCTTGATTCAGAGTAAAGGGAATTTTTTTTCCCTCAACTTTTTGCATCCCTGCCTTCAAGATCATCTCCTTTCAATTTGAAAAGTTTACTTATACAAAATCAAGTTTTGGAGTCATGAAAAACAAAAACGCGTGTATATTTCCTTTTAAAAACAAAACATTTTATTTACAAACAAATTGAAGTTGAAAATTCAGCGGTAGATTCTGAGACAAAAATTGAAGTACACAGTTCAAAAATGCTTCTGAAAGCAAAAGTCTATGAGAGAAATAATTACATCAGATTCATGAATTTTAAGTAATAGGTACACAATTGTTAAACGAAAATCTTGGAAGATAAGTGCAGAACTACAACATTGTAATTGTTTGACAACAAGGAAACACTACATCTTGATGAAAAGTTACATTCAGGAAGGAAATAGTTTATTTAACGACTTCTAGTAGATAGGAAACCAGTGCGTAGATAAGTATAAAAATTCCCTCCTTGTCATACAAGAGACAGAAGAGAGACTACAGTTTCGTCTCAAGTGGTATAGTTTTCTCTGAGATAATCTAAAATTAAAAGGTAAGTCAAAATATAATGCTACGTACTCCAGAAGTCAATCATATAATTTTCATGGTAACATGCCTCTAATTCGAAGGTGTGGGATGATGTGCATGATGGAAATGAGTCTATTGAAGCAAAAGAAATTTTAGAGATGAATAAAGTTAAGCACTGACGGGTATTATTTAAAATCTATTCTACTTATTCTGGGAAAGAATGCAATTCGAAAGGGAACCTTTGTAATACATTCTTTACTGATGTAAGTTCACATTTAAAATTAAAAATATTGATAGAAGACGATATAGATAATTTTTGAGCTTAGGATTTAATTAAAGTTCACATCAATGGGCAAAGGGACAAGGTCTGACCTAGAAAATGTTGCACCTTTGCCCTTCAAAATCTTATGAGGAAAACGATTCACTTATCCAGGAGTTTTACAATCAACTCCTGAGCATGATTTTAACGACTGTTTTTAATACAGATCAAATGAAAGTTGAATTATTAAAAATGACGTCATTTGTATGTTAACCACTTAACAAAAGTTAATTGTAAACATTTGTACCTTGCTTGGGAGTTGATTCTTAAGACTTCCTGTTGTATGGTTTGTTTTCCTCCTGAAATTTTAAAGAGAGTACATTTTGCATTATGCTTCATTTCATACCGTGTCAATTAGCTCACTGATTATCATTATACAGCTACGCTCCCTATTCTAAAAATAACACAAGAAATGGCTTGAATAATCGCAAAAAGGTAGAAAAAGGTTCACACAGAATCAGGACATCCGTAGCAAACAAGAGCGGAGTCTACTAATTAAATAATAAAAAACATAATCATTATAATAAAGTTTGTTATAGAGGTAAGACTTACCAAGAAGGAGACAATACATTAACAGGACTTACACACAATGAAATTAATTATCATTTCCTTCGCTGATTCTGCGATATCTTGCAATTATAATTAAAATATAAAAATAGGATTAACAACAAATACCGGTTCTTTACATTAAAAGGAGAGATCTGCCATTAAGTTCTCCATACCCTACTTCTTAAAATTTCAGTCATCTAAAAAACGAAAAATAATGCACCAAGAAAAATTAAATAGTAAAGAGGAAAAACTAAACTGAATGAAAAAAAATAAATAAAAAGCTTTGAAATATACATAATGCAACTTTCGAAAAATAATGGACTTACAATTTCTTCTGAGTGTAAAATTAGCATTTCAAACTAGCAAGAAAAAACAAGAAGAATATATTTGTGTCTCACCCAGGTTCTGAACAATCCAATTTAGAAATTTTCGTCACACAAGAGAACCCTTTGGAGGTACCACCTGTGACTACAACTACAGATACAAATTTTACAATCTTGCATCGGAGTGTGATTGACATTGAGAATTTTGGTTTTTGACATTTTATAAAATTTAAGATTATTTTTAAATGGATCTGTTTTTAAGATTTGAATAAAGAGCAATTTGGAAAGAGATACTAGCATGATCATTACTGCATTTGATTATGTGTATTTTCTAACTCTTGTAAATAACTTCAGATTTTCATCATATATTTGCAGTGAGTATATATGTACTGACAAGGAGTCTTAATTGTATTGGAAAACTTCACTAATGATACCCTGAAAAAGCTTCTTGAGTTCAGCTCCGAATTGCAATTTCACCATTTCCCTCTGAATTCTTTGACTTCCTATAAGAAACAATTTTTCTTAATTTTCCATGCTATCTTGGATTCCAACCTTTGATGCCGCCCTAATTAAAACAAAAAATACCAAAAGAAAATAACAGAAAAAAAAGAAATAAAAACACAAGGGGGGGATAGAGGAAATAAAATTTCACTTAACTACCTATTCGCTGAGAAGGCTTCACTTATCAAAATCACTGACATTTTCTTAAAATTAAAAGTAAAAAAGGTCAATCTTAATACTGAGAGACTTATCTATTATCAATTTTTCTTTCTAAGACGAGACCCCACGGTCAGAATATCTGGGACGTCTAGAACATAACCTCTTTGGATACATGATAAATGTGCACTAGTGTCACATGTGCTCAACCTTAGGAACCACAGCTGGCGAAACAAGTGATTGCAGGACAGAGATGAAAAATACATAGAATGAATCAGATGAAGCACTTGCAGCTTGTCTCGTAATCAGACATGCGAAAGTTTACAGCCAAGTGAATTTTGAGCATTAGCAGGTTCATAACTGGAACTTAATTACACTTTTTTTAACTGAATAGTCCTATCTTGTTTTTTATTGATTGATATCTTGATATTGATCAATTAGGGTTCTTCAATTAACTGTAGATCAAATTTCAATGATCAGATCACAGGTTGGCAAACAGCAAAAGCGAAGGAGGACCATGCTCTTGTGATTATGTGAGTTCGAAATCGAAACACTAAATGATGCAAAAACGTATCAGTTTGTCATGTAAAACATTTAATAGCAGTAAAATTCTCTTGAAACAGTGATTAAAAATCAAAAGAGACCAATAGCAACAGTATTGTTCCGTGGATAAACTGAACATTTGTAAATCAGTGATTTTTTCTCACAGAGAAGAAAAGCCAGAATTTTCAGGAATAATACAACAATGATTTTGTCCTGAGAATAAAATGGCCCGGCTATTGATAACACTAGAATACTGATGCTCTTTCATGTGATGTGGGGATGTTACAATCTTTTTGCGTACAGAAGACTCACTTGTAAAAGTTTATTAGTGTAAAGCTGCAAAAATGCATGCATTGCAAGCATGATAAAGGATTCCCATTTACTTTACATAGCTTGCTTAACTCTTCTTTAATTTTCTTTTTCAGAAAGTTCTGAACATCTACTTGATTTTGAAAATTCTGTTCAATACAACAACTAGGTCCTCCTTAGCTATTCCCTAAAAAATAAATTGATTCCTTCTACATCTGGAAAATATGGTTTGTGAACGGCTATTTAAAGGTTCAATACATATGAGGTGGATAAATACATCCGACTTGGGTGTGATAAAAAGAGTTTAGAGTAGGACACTGAAGAAGGCTTGTTCACATCACTACTGCATAGAAGTAACTATTATCTGAAAGGAGTAAAATATTTGAAACAACTACTTTTTTCATAGACACATAGAGAACAATAATCGGAGTAATGCTGGCATCAATTTACTGTGCCTCACCTTTCCGGTGCATTTATGGCGAAGAGTCGGGCGGTTTTGTCATCAGATGCGCTTATAATCATACTGCTGTCACTGAAAGAAAACGAAGAATGACATGAGAAGGCAAATCATCAAAGTGAGTACAAAATTTAATGCCATACATAATTTCTGTTACATTCAGAATTGTAACATTGAATTCGCTTACATTAATAACAGACATTTATAAATCAGTAAAGATGTCATTGCAATATTTTTTTACAAGAAACAGAGGTGGATTTGTGGCACCTTAGAGAATCTTTTTTCTACTAAAATTTTAATGAAAAATGGAAAAACATCAATCATTTCACTTTTTACTCATTTCCAAAAAATGAATTTAAAACTATGTTCAACAGCCCCATTCAACTTATGCCAGGATAGGCTCTATCAAGAAAGCTCACAAGAGGCAGACAAAATTTAGGACTGGGTCTTGTAACATGGGACTTACTGACATCTCACGATATTCAAATGGTGGATCCAATTGTGGGTACTATCGCATGCTTCAAACTTGACTAGAACTGATAGAAAAGGTTTGAAAATGAATACTTACGATGAGAGACAAATATCTAATATGTTCTGACTATGGCCGAGAAGAGCTGCTTGAACCTCCCCAGTGCGTGCATTCAAAATTTGGATAGCACCATCCAGATCAGCAGCATAGACTGTGGTGCTCAATGGGTCCCACAAGAGACGGCTGATTCCATGCCCCACGCTGATTTTGTGTCTTAGGGCCTGGAAAGTATTGGACGATTAATTTATTACCAACAGCAATACTTCGTTGAAATTCAGGCTATCAGCCACTAAAGGTAGTGCATGGGAGGATGAAATGCCTTTGCTTACACCCTGCACCAATTAGCTGTGGCAATCTTCGCGATGTTACAGGCCAAATGGTGGAAGAAAACAAAATACCCAAACAGGTGGACCAAGAGAAAAAAGGATGTCACCCACATCTTCTTAGCAATGCATATTTTCTAGAAGTAAATACCTGTTTTTCGGCTTTCTAGGCTTTGACTTCTTAAGGGTTGGTTTTATCAGCGCTGGTCAAATCTCAATGCGTGACTTGCGGTCAAAGGTTTATCTCCTTGTTAAGAAAAAATCCTTCCTATCACCGTTCGTCAATCACATACATTTGATTAAATTTGCACTAATGCTTTGGAAAACATAGTGCTAAATGCCGCCAACTGTTGGCACAAAACCTTTAAAACTTCGATTTACTCCATGCAAAAGTCGGCTACAAACCAGCTGTGCCAGAGGTCCTGATGTGTCACAATTCTTAAGAGGAACATTAGGAAAATAAGGAATCGATTGGAGAACATTTTCAGTGGGTTACAATTCTATAAGGCTGGATGAATATTCGAAAATCTCGTATATTTTTTTAGATACTCGATTCGAACTCGAACTTGAAAACCTTGAATTTTCCAACTTATTTATTTTCGTTAATCAATTTTTATTTTAAAACTCATTTTGGTTATTCTGTACTTTTTCTCTCCGCAGCAAATCAGAATTGTACAAAAACGTTACCCAATTAATTATTTAATAAATATAATTATTTATGATTCGGTAATCTTCAACAATGATAGTAAATAATACATTTTCTTTTTAAACTTAATTATTATAAACGATTCTATTTATGAACTATACTAAAAAGTTTGCACCAAAAAAACACTTTCAGTGCCCAAATGTAAATAAAATGTATTGAACCACAAGATAAAACATAAAGAGAAATTATTTACTACATTAATTAAAAAAACATCCAGAATTTTTGCTTCGAGTTGAGTGACGAAGAGGTGTTTCTGGTCAGAAGTAGGTAAAAATATTCAATTCGAATCGATTTGATATTTGAACTTCTTTTTTTTAATTCGATTGGAGGCCAAAAAACCATATTCCCCCAGCCCAACGATTCTATCCAATCAGGGGCAAGACTGATTTCAACAAACTTGGTACATTTTTAAAGTTACCAAACAATGAAGTTGAAAGGGACTTACCAGTTTTGAGTAGTCCCAGATGAAAATATTACCACTCAAAGTGGCAGCAACAACCAAAGGAAAATTTGCATCTTTGGAAAAACACACTGCTTCAACCCAGGCAGGATGGTTAGAGCTTTCATTACTGGATGTATCATCACACTCGAACTTGGATGCGACCTAAAACCAAAAAGATAAACTTAAAAACAAACAGTAAAAAAAGTCGTTTGCAAAAAAAAAAAAACTTTGGGAAATCTTTCCTATGGGAAAAGTGTTCGGTTCTTATAAGGGGGGGGGGGCAGGGGTCGNAAAGGTAGGTAATTGAAATTTTGACCTTGCTGCTTAGTTTCAGAAATGTGTCTAGAATTTGCTTCTTTGTACTGATACACTAAAACAAACCTGCCATTTTACCTTACATAACTGGTTTCCTTTAATGGACTATTAAACGATTTGGGCAACAAGTTACTGAAAGCAACTCTTAACCGAGATATTAACGTTTCTTCCATACATAAATTTAGGGATGCAGGAAATTATTAACCTTCCCATTATAAAAACCTCTATTGCTTCAGAAATTTCAAAGAGATGACTTTTAAATGGCTCTGTTTGGGTAAATTGCCGCGATTTAGCCCAAAACACGTGGCTTTTAGCACAGTTTTGCAAAAATGAACCCGATTTTGCCAACGTTCCCATTACAAATCACCATTTTCAGGGCTTTCCCAGTTTCTTGACGAATTGAGAAGGTTCAAACCATTGCAAATATTTATCTTTCCCACTTAAAAAAACCCGTAATCTAATTAAGTTAAATTGCGCACTAAACACAACCGTATCAGTCTCTGCAGAAGGAAAATAGGGCAACCTCGATATCAGCGTTTTGGCTCAGCTATTGCTTGTTCTTCGCAATATGAAGAACACAGGCAGGAGAGAAACGCTGCCTGAATAAGGAGCCTTCCCAAACAGTTATAGTGTGCGATTTGATTTACATAGACTCTTGTTTTTTTTTGTGATCAGGAAATTCAAATTTTCTGTAACTAGTGCTGAATAAAAACGTTACTATCATGGTTAGGAGTTGATGTAAGTGCCTTTCATTGCAGGAATTGTGTTCTGCGTGAAATTTTGAGGAAAATACATGAGTCAGAGTGTTTCAATTCATATCTTGTTTAGTGATCCATTACATCATAAGGCAATTTGGGCTTTATACATAAAACATTTAGTTCATAAAAGTGGACTTAAGTAGTCTCTAGAATAACAGATAAGGAAAAATGAATCAGCTCAATAAGATATAAGCCAATTATTTCAAAAGCCTCGCTTGCAATAGACATGTATTGGTTCCTAGGATAGATTGACAAGGGTAGCTGAAATTACAGTTACAATGGCCACTACTGTAATTGAAAATGTTTGTATTAAAATGATTCGCAATATCTTTTACCTTCCCGGTTTGAGTTTTTGTAAGAACTATCTGACCGAACTCTCCACCTGTTACAATCAGGTTGTTATCAGGGTGGATATCAATACAGCTGACGGTTCCTGAATGACCTTCCAGACTACCAATTGTGTGAAGAACTTGGCTGGTTTTTAAATCATAGATTTTGATTATCCCATTTGCATAGCAAATAACTGCACGTTTGCCTGAAAACAAACACAAAAACTTGATTTGTTGAAAATACTTAATTAAAGATAAATTAATTTTGAGATAAAAAAAAGAAAAAATATAAAATTTATCATTCAATATAAATGAAAAAAAATCTAGGGGTCATTGAATATTTGGATTCAATTCATACTGGGGTCAAGACTAAATGCATTGCATTCTAGCCGATGAAAAATTTCTAAAAGGGAGTTCTTATTCAGGGTTGCCATAAGATTTTGAAAATGAAATGCCCTGACATCTTCCCGATTTTCCTCACACATTAAATGGTAAAATTCCCTGACATTTGAATTATGTGGAATGGTAAAAGATGTAATTTTAAATCGTTTCTGCGCAAAATTTATTGTTCAAAACATTACACCCACTCTAGAAGGCAAATAAAGGTGAACTAGCAATTTTTCCATGACACAATGTCATTTTCCCTGAAATTTCCCCGTTTTCTCTGACTTTTCAAGGTTGGTTCCCACACATTTCCCAGTATTTACGGTATTCCCTGATGATGGCAACTTTTTCTTGTTTTTTCATTTGATGAATGAGATGATGGAGGCTGCAACTAAGATCAGGAGAAATTGATGATGCTTTTGATTATAACATACCGTCATGTAAAAATGCTCCACAGTCAGTGTTGGCTTTATTTCCAGCAAGTACTTTGCATTCACCAGTCGGAACTTTCCACAGGTAAACTTCGCCAGCTTGAGTGCCAGCTAGTAAAACGTTGGCGCTTTTGTGCCATTTTAACCACTGAAAAAACAAATTGACAATAATTTCTACTGTACTAAGTACTTGCAGAGTTTTGGAGCATTTCGGAGCAAATTAAATGAGTAACCAGTTTCGGAACAACTCAGAGCAAATTAAATGAGTAACCAGTTTCGGAGCAACTCAGAGCAAATTAAATGAGTAACGCTGCACATGGTACAGACCATCATAGATGCATAATTCAATCTTGAAATACTCGTACGTAAAGAGTGCAATAGAGAGGATAATGATCACTAAAGGTTTAAAAGAATTTTCAACAATTATAATTAAAGCACGTTCCTGGGGTATCAGCAGGAGCATTCCAAAAATTTCAAAGCAATGAATTTGTTAAGACAAAAAAGCGTTATTGATTACTGCGATAAGTTGAGCAAGTATCCATTGCTTGAAAAGATCTTTTCTTTTTTCATTCCTAGTATGCTCACAGATTTGAGTAGAGTCTGTAAAATGGATTAAAGAATGTTAAAAAAGGTTTGTACTACATTTAATCAGATACTTTATCAGCTGCTTGTGATTGAAATCCAGGGAGCATATTGTTCAAGGCCTCAGTATATTTCAGAGAAGCCCCTGCAATTTCCTGCAGAGCACTCAGCAAAAAAAGTTACCATAGGGCACTGATCAGAGGGTCAAAAATTATCAACCAAAGATAACAGTTTCAAAAAATTTGTAACCCTAGTTGAAAGTGCCTAACAAGACATGCCTTTGCTTTTGGATTTGTAATACCTTTCTTTTGGCTCCTTAAGTTGGAATTCTAACTTTTTAACTGCAAACGAAGAGGAAATATCACGAATGCCAGAAAATAAGCTTTGAAATTCGAATTGTTTTTTCTGATAAATTATTTTAAACTCAATGGCAGCTGTTCAATACATACCCTGAGAATATACCAGGACTGACATTTTGATGGTGAAACTGTAGAAATACGTATCTTGGTTTGTGACATTTTAAACTTCCTGCGGTATTTTATATTCAGCATTGAAAACTACTAAATGTCATTTCTTGAAAACTCCGGTGGTTTTTCTTTGCTATATGAAGAATATTCTGTGAAAATTTCAAGGCATGATTCATGTTTGGTAACCTTATAAGAAATAAAATAGGATTGGAGAGTTGGAAACACTGCAATCAAGACACACATTTTTGCAGTATCACCGTCGATTTTATAAGCTCTGGTATGATATACGGAGTAAAGAGAGAGAGAGAGATGGCACTTACAACAAACTCAGAGATATTTTCACTCCAGAGAAGAGACTTGGATGATATTTTCCAAACTTGGATCAGTCCGCCCATGTCACCAGTTGCAACAAGAGAGCCATCATGGTTAAATTCAACACCAATAACCGAGTCCTAAAAAATATTCAGTAATTAATGTTGCACATGGGAAAAGGATAAAAGAGAATAATAATCCTGTGATTATAAAAAAAAAAAAAAAAATCATTTCATTAATATTTTGCAATAGGTATATAAAATAGGTTATATTGTTTATTATTCTTTGTTTCGGATTCTCTAATTTAGAATTGAGTAGATGAGAAAAAATTAATGTTTCGGAAGATTCTAATGTGTTCTGCTGGCAACAACTTTTCTGTGCGCTATGATGGAAAATTTCATGAAGTACTGCTGCACTGAAATTTAAAATGTGAAATTTCATCAATGTTTCATGTAAAAGTTTTGGAAAATCCAACTTTTGGTTGAAATTTAATGATGAAATATAAGTGTCACAGCCTGCAGGGTGTTTACTAAAATAGGCTGGCCAAAAATCAGTACTTTTACAGTACTTTTTCAGTACAATCCCAAGAAATTCCGTACCTTCTTAACAGAAAAATTCAGTACTTTTTCAGTACCTCCAATTGACAAAATTCGAAAAATTTCAAAGTTTGAATTACTCGCTCAAATTATGACCAAAATGACAAGAAATGAAAAAAAATTCTGGACCTTCCTGCGGAATTTCCGCACTTTTTCAGTACTCCCGGACCGCTCTTAAAAAATCAGTACTTTTTCCAGACTTTCCAGAAATTCCGGACTTGTAGACACCCTGGCCTGTGTTTGCATCTCAGTCTGTAAGGTAATAATCTATGATTGATTTGTATGTACAAAAGAACCAAAAATTAGGGTAATGCTTACATTATGGCCGGTACACTCAAACTCAACTTCTCCTGTACGTGTTTTCCAGACGTAGGCTTTTTCATCTTCTCCTCCTGTAACAGCTAGGCAACCCATTTTCTGCTCCAAATGACAGCAAAATACGGAACCTAAAGAAGGAATATTTTAGTTGATATTGAAACATTTTTAGAGGATTTTGAAAACAAGAAGACTGTTATATGTGAGCAAACTACGCACTAGTCCTCTTCAACAGGGGTGCAGAAATTTCTTCACCATGAGATTAAGATGCTCAGGTGAGAAAATGGAAAGGCTGTCTGGGGAGGCCAGCTTCTTATTTGCTCAAATTGTGGTGAAATTAGCAGGTTTTTGGAAGAATGTCAGTGACAGTTGCATATTCTTTGCAAAATTGTTGAAATTTGTGAATTAAGACGAAACAAAGGGTTATCATCTTGAAAATTTCAGGAAGAAATGGGGATTTTTAAAACGAGAGAGCAAGTTTGAAAAAATGTGAAGGCTGAGAAACTGAAGGGAGAACTAACTCCATACACAGTATATGATTCTTACTGATAGAACTGTCAGGTTTTTCTTTTCTTTTTCAGTGAAACCCTAAGTTCCACACATGGTTCTTCAGATTGATAAATTCTTTGGGAGTTCTGTAAAATGACACACTTTCTACATGAGGAATTTCTACGTGGTAGAAGAAAACAAATATGGATGTGGCAGCTGTAGAGAAGTTTCACAGTGAAAAACATTTGAGTTGTGATGTAGCAGGCAGACCTCCTTCCACTAACACATTAAGAGAGCTTATGTACTCAAAATGAGTATCGCTGTCTGTTATAAACACTTTGACAGAGCTCCTGTACACAAGCCTTCCATGCAGGACTGAAGCGTACTTACAAGTCGGACAAGGTAATGAAAATTGGGTCGGTTCTATATCCATTCCTCATTTCCTACAATTTTAGTTCTGTGCCAGTCTACATGAAAGAAAGGTAAAAGTAAAAATATTTTAAAAAATATTTGTGATAAATGGCACTTCTAATAATAATAAATTTCAGAATTTGTTTTCAAACTCTCTGGATTGAAAGTAGGTGACTTTACTATGAGAAAAAAGTATGGACACTGAAAAACGTAAATAATAGTTTCTTAAATTGTTCATAATCATACTTAAGTAATAACTTATTTTTTCGCTTCGTAAAAATTTCAAGCTCCCACCTGTATGTTTGGAGAATACCAATTCAGAGTCGTCTCTTTTAGGAGCATTACTGGCAGCTTCTGACATTTCATCCTGCCCATCTTCATCATCCATGCTGATATCACTGATGCCGAAGCCGTTGTCATTCTCATAGTCATCCTCGTCTTCATCAACGATGAACTCCTCGTCCAACTCTACCACATCATCCTCCTCCTCCTGCTGTCCAGGTGAGGCAGGTGGAGTATCTTGTTTCATTTTATCTGCAAACAAGGAGACCCACTTTAACTACTTTGATTTAATACTTGGCAATTTCGAGCAGCTGACTTCTCAGTCAGACAAAGCTGAAAACTCGGGTGCAGAGAGTTCTTTACCTCGTTACACAGTTTCTGTTTAACAACCCCTAACATTCCCTGATTCTTTGTTATTCCCTTGCTCTAAAGTTTTCAAATTCCCTAACCTTCGAACTAAACTTCCAATTAAACTTAATTATAAAAAATAAGATATGCTGACTTTTGCTAAACTTAGGACAATATCTCTACTTCTAGAGATTTAAATTAAGGGGAAAAGGTACTCAGGGGCATTCTTGTTTTCTCTTAGGGCATCAGCTGCAGTTGTCGAGCTCATGCGCTATTCATAAAATTCCCTGACTATTACAATGAATGACCAGACTTTCTCTCACTTTTCCTGGTCTTCAGAAATTCTGTAACTTTTCAGGTTTCCCAGATTGTCAGGTGACGGGTGTTAATCACTCATAGTGTGCGCATTCGCCAGCCTCTTATCGATAAGAGATTGAGACAATACGATTCAACTGGGGAAGGACAAGGCTGTCTCAAATTTCTAGAGAAGAATCTTTAACGGAGCTTTTCAGCAAAGGGAAAGGGAGGGGGAATTAATGGAGAGATTTCTTCTGACGCTTATCGTACAACTAGATGCACAATGACACGGAAGTTCAGGGAGAGAAAAAAGAAAGAGCTGTAGAGGGATCACTACAGGACTTAAGTCTGATGCAGCCCCTGGAATCTTGTATTAGCAGCCAACTTTGTGAACAAGGCTATTGTCTGGTAGAATGGATAATCAATTAACTTCGTAAGTAGCTATTCCTATGATTCCTAATAATTAGGACAGTGTGGCGATGTGCTGCTAGTCTAACTGTGCCTCAGACCCAAAATTGTTAATGAGATTATTGTTTCTGGATACCTATCAAAATCTAAAAAAGAGGAAAATTCCGAGATGACTTATGGTGAGGGTAAATAAGTGCAGGAAGATCAATTCTGATAGGTATCCAGAAATAGTAATCTCATCGACAATTTTGGGTTTGAGGCACAGCTAGTCTCGCAGCACATCGCTACGCTCCTCCTGTTGTTCCTCATAATGGGGACAGCGTGGCAATGTGTTGCGAGTCTAGCTGTGCCTCAGACCCAAAATTGTTGATGATAATACTGTTTCTGGATACTTAACAAAATCTAAAGAGGAGACAGGCAGAGGAAAATTCCGAGATGACTTGTGGTGAGGATAAGTAGGTGCAGGAAGATAGATTCTGATAACTTGCGTTCCAGGGACTCTCTGACACTTAGCCTCATGCAAAGAGTGACAGTATCAGGAGAAAATGTTTCACGCAAGAATACGATCGTTCCTAATCTAAATTCGTTACAATCAGAGACTGTGTGAGGCAATCACAGATTTTGTTTCACGATGAAGATACTTATGAAAAGAGTTTTGAATGGGTAAACAAAGCTGTGGTTGGCAAGGAATCTGCGACTGAATTACCTGGTTGATGTTGCGGAAAAAAGTCCAAAAGCTAAGAGGCGTTTGAGCAGTTAGATTACACAACGTGACACGAGGTATTTCACTGGTAATTTGAAGAATTTATCAGAAAAATTGATTACGATTATCGGTCTCCGAAAATTCTACGTCTTCTTCTTCTGCCTCAAGAACTTTTTGATTGATGCTGCTTTAACGGTTGACGAAACCGTTGAGGTCAGCTTTCTTAACCTTAAAATTCCCAGAGGAATGAAAGTGAATTGTTTACTTTTGAGTTTCTGAACTTTTGACAGTCCAACAGCCCTGTGCTTCTGATTATGTACATTTTAGTTAAATCCTCGAAAACCTCGTGAGAAACAATCTCTAACTGAGGCTTCTCAGGTATCAGTGAGTGTAAAATTCCTTGTATCGTGGGGCTGTTTTGCACTTTTGCAGTCAGAAGTGTTGCCATTTCGCCTCGGTATTTGTCACATCAACCTTTATTCCATCTTTAAAATTTGGCCTTAGATAGAGTCCTTGGATATTTGAGAGGTGATCGGTCTCGCTTCTTAACTTTCAAGAGGTGTCCGCTTAGCTGAAATTATGACTTGCAGCTCCGCAGGGCATGGACCAGATGGCGTTCATGATAGAAGATTGTGGATAGGTAACCTGGATGAGCGAATCACCGAGTGAGTATTACTGAGCTTTGTCTTGACCGAGTATTGCATGCTATCAAGAACTCTTACTATGAAAGTAGGTATGTGAAATTTGGCAGCGTAAGTGGACAATCATATTTACCCTCCATTCGCGATGTCGCAGACTTTCTGTCATACGTTATATTTTAAACGGAAAATACTCAACGGGAATTTGATAGACCCCCCCTCACTGCAATATTGTCCCGCATTGCAATCCTTGCCCCTCTGCAACGCCATCCAAGGTAGCGCGGCAATGCAAATTTTTAGAGGTGTTGTCAGCTAATTTGACGGTTGTTTACTTTCGGTTTGCAAGGGCCAACGACGAATTTGGTCCTCTGAACAAAGCGGTGTTCGCTACTATCCTCATCGAAAACATCAGTCTCATGATTGTATCGTAAAAAAACTACTTATCAGTTATGATTTGCGACTTTTTTGTGGTTGTGAATTCTGTGTGGCTAAAAATTAAAGTGTTACAAGGTTTGAAAGTATTAAAAAACTTATCTAAGCTTGTGCTCTTGCTTCTGAGAGAACCAGATGTTTCCATGTGGATAGTAGTGACGCGAAAACGCCTGCAAACCGAAAGTAATCAACCATCAACTTAGCTGACGACACCTCTAGTACCGTTAACCTTTTCCTGCATTGAGATGCATAAACAAAAGTTCTTAGAGAAGTTCATCAAAAAATGAAATGTAACCATCAATTTAGTCTTTAAAACCTCCAAAATCAAGTGATCATTTCAAAAAACTACGCACATCGGTTCAAAACAACATTATTTTGGGGGGAGGAGAGTGGTTTGAAGAATAACCCCTTTGAGGCCCATTGTGTGAGACACTAAAGCACAAGGGAAAAATAAATAAAATCTAGTCATTCTGTTATACTTTGTCACTATTTAATTTTATTTTTTTATTCTATCTATTTATTTATTATTGATTTTTTTTCTTGTCTCTCACTTTATAAAGCTCGTAAAGATTTTTTAAAATCATTGAATTAAGTCTTTTATTATATTTTCTATCGAATGCTGTTTAGTTGTCCAGACACTCACCACTCGAGCTGTGCTCTCGATAGGGGATGGAGCTTAAATTGAATTATTGTCAATATGTCACCGAACTAAAATAAATGAATTGAATTGAATTGAAATGCCCTTCTCGGCTATGCCTCCCTTCATAATTATTCAGTTTATTGTCTCTCCTGGAAAATCAAGGCAGATGGACTTGCAGGGTTTTTGGAAATGCCCATTCATATGAGTTGCTAATTAATTGAATTAGATTAATTTAATCAAATTATTTTTAATTAGTTTTAAATTTTAATTTAATTAATTATATTAAATTTAATTAATTAGTTTAATTAGATCAAAAATCAAATCAAGCTCAGTCATAACAACTTGTAATAATGAATTTTTCTATCCGTATTTGCTATTTCCTAGTTCAAGATTTAATGATACTCATGTCAATGTACTTATCATGTCACCAATAATGTGTTTGTTTTTTTTCTCAATTGGTTTCATCTCCTGAAACTCCTTCAAAAATTTGGAAACATCGAAAAGTTTGACCTGCTCTTCCATCGATCTGGACCGTTGGCAGGTCAGCCACGAGGCTATGCGTTCGTCACCTACTCACAATTGGAGGATGCCAAACGGGTGAAAACAGCCTTAGATGGAACTAAAGTTGGAACAAAGAATATTGCCATCAAATGGGCGTACAACAATGAAAAGGTAAAACTTAGGCTCCTGAATCTTATTTCATCTTCATCGCAATAGCGTCTTGCAGTGGCTCACAGAACCACAATCAGTAGGACATGGGAATATGTTGTGCATCAAGGTCAGTTGAGCCGCTTTGAAAAGAGGAAAAAGTTAAAGGAAGATAAATGAATTGCAAAGACACAGTGATGACTTTGACAATCAAAGCTCTCTCCCTCTAACTGTTTTGTCAATATCTTGAACCCTCATTGCTCCATTGGGACTGATACATGATCCAGAAATTCTCCTGGTAAGTTCAGACTAAATTCTAGAAAGCAATCCTTTTAAGCTTGTAAAGGCTCCAAATAGCGTTTTGACTGGATGAAATAGGCTTAAGGTTGCAGTTATTTAAAGAATGTTTCTCACTGGCTTGAAGCTTTCAACAGCATTGGAAGCAACGTGCAAACCATGCTTTCAACCACCATGAATCCAATGTAATATCCATGATCCACGCTTATATTTAAGCAATACTCTCATCCATACTTCAGAACCTCACTAAAATGTTCTATTGAAAAAAGACGTTCACTGTTTTAATGAGATCTAAATTTACTCTTGACATTGTGAAAACGATCCGTATTATTTCATTGAATGTCTACCCATTAAAAATAGAAAAAATCATATCTGTAAAAAGGAAAAAGTCAAAATTATTGACATAGTTATATTAAGCACAAGAAATGGCCTACATTTTTTTAGTTTTGGGGCCACAATTGCATATTTTGCTTGTATTTTCTGTGGCCGTCTTCGTAAAGTTAAAAATGAAACATGAAAACATGTAGGTATTCACATTTTCAGTGTCATCTCCAAAAGTGGATTGAAAAAAAATTTTCAAGAGCCCTATTTTGTGCAGTGAACTTTCATTTTTCCATCTTTTATAAGACTTAAGCGCAACATATTCCTGGTCTGTGTATCTGTGTGCTTTTTTTAAAGAATATCTCAGAGAATGGAGACTGTAATATTTGGGATCTGACATGATGGTAGTGGATGTCTCCATTACACCAACATACTTGCTGACCTGTTAATTTGTACTCTTTTTTTGTATACTTTACTGTGGCAAAAGTATTGATTTTTCATTTCTCCTTTTACAGGAGGACGACACCAAATCCAAACCTAAACTTACAATTCCTGCTCTAGCTGGTGCCTCTGAAGAAAAAAAACCAATCAGGTATGTAATCATTCCCCATTTCCTCCGTCTGTTTAATTTTGAAGTATATTACAATTGAAGAGTAGAAGAGCAGTGTCCAGCCCTCCTTGCATTTTCAAAAATTCGAAGCAGTTTGAATCGCAGTTACGAAAGTAATTTTATCTCTGCACTCGTGTAAGATCCTAGGCTCAGAGTTCCGACTGAACCCCCATCTTTCATTTTAATAGAGTTTCACGAAAAGCCAAAAATTACGCATCCACTGAAAATGTACCAATAATTCTGCGTATTTGAAATCTTCAATAGGGTGAAATGTAAGAGCGAACCCCCAAAAACACTGATGTTTGATCCTGAATAGTATGAAATTTTCCTTTTTTGTGAAAACTGTTTTTATGAAATTGAATTTATAATATGAGTATGAGGTTGCTCCCTTGTGGAATTCAACCGTGAAGATTATTTATTAAAAATCGTTTGTTCGTTTCGTCAGGCTAGTTGCAATTCAGGTTGTGCAGTTGAGCACTCATTGAGAAATAGACTCATTTTGTTTTTTGAACCATTTTTTGAAACACATGATTAATTTCACTGCCGAAATATCACTCTAAAAACTAGCATTGATTTGTGCTTTAATTTTTCTGTTTCCAGTAAACTCACCAAAATTCAGGCAATTGAAGCAAAATTGAAGATGATGGAAAGTACTTCGTTTAGTGAAGTTGAAATACAGCCTACTATAAAATCTAGTCACTCTAGCTCAAGAGGAGGCATGAATTCCCATAGGATGAACAAACCATATTCAGATCAAAGAAACTTTCACCGATCAAAACCTTACTCTCGCTCATAGTGTTCTTTAAATTTCATCAACAGGATCTCCGTAGTTTTAACTAAACTGCAAATTTTTACTGTAAGGAAATAAAGATAAGGAGCTTAATAGACTAACAGAGTTCCCCTGAACAAGGTTGAAGAAATTCCTTGTAATCTCATTGTATTTAAGGGTTGCAGTGCTCTTCTGTATATGGTCTCAGTATTATGAGCATCTAAAGAAAACAAGAAAAAGTAATGTTTTCAGCTTTATGGCTGTCAGAGGGGAAAATATAAGTGTAGGCAATAAATACACACAATTTGGCAACCCCTCCTTGTCTACTCCTCGAGGCAGAAGGGGGGGGGGTGCTCTACAACTCCAGTATAAATATTTTTAACTGGTTTTTTGTCGCCCAATTTTTTCCTTTTCGGGAAAATTTTTCCACGCAGTTGCTTTAAAAAAAAGAAAATAAAAATAAAGGGAAAATAACTCTAAATTAACCTAACTCAATACAAATGAATGATGCAAGAAAAAAAATATTAATTCAACTAGCTAGTGCTTGGATCTCTAGTGATACAATTAATTACACTAGTGCAAAGATTTCTTTTTTCTGGTTTTAATTTAATGGTTGAAATCTGTTATTAGCGCATCAAATGGCACCAAGAAATTATAAGTTTCATTCTAAGGAAATGTTTATTTTTTTTTAATTCAGTTCAGTAGTACCAATGTATTAATTTGTAAAATAGATGGAACCAAGAAGTGATAGATTTTATTTCTCTTTATGAATTTTACATTAAGTTGTACAGTATTTTATGAATGAATTGATTTCATATCTACATTTTATGTTTTGTTGATTCAAGTTGAAAAGTTGTAATCACTGAGACTTGGTAGAATCAAAGTAAATTTATTTGTTGATTCATGAATGTTTATCGAATTCTTTTCTTTGAATACCTCTTAGTGATCATTCTTTTCTTTATAATGCATTTCACCTTCTGTGACAACTCATTTACCATTTCTCAACAACGGAGAACTAAGCACATATATTTGGATTGCATCAAGTGGAAGGGAACTATCACAATTACAGCATTGTAAAAATTGTAAATATGAATCTATTTCTTACAAGAAAATGCCTGAATGAGTACATGTTTTTATTTCTCTATCAAAAAATTGTTAGGTAATTTTAAAAGACAACAATTTTTTAAATTTGATAACTTAATGTACATTTATTACTTGTTAAAGCAAAGGAGAAGTTGCACGATTTAGAAAACACTGTAATTACATTGGTTCCTTTCTGCTACTTAGATGTGATCTATTTTTAATGAAATAGTAAAAGGATTATTTGAATAATAGAAAAAATATAGAATATATAGAGGATAAAAAACAAAGTAACATTTATTTATTCTTGAAAACATGAAAATCCATTGAAATGAGACTTGATATCATTATTATACTGTACAAACAAACAAAAAATCTATTTCAGTATCATTTAACGCAAGTGCTCAGATGAATAAAGATTTCAATGAAGTTTTGAGTCTGACTTTGATTAGGTCATGAAATCTCAATTCATCTTACAGCAGTGCTCTTCCTCATTTCTCTCAGCTCTGACCGCAAACTGAAGGACACCTGCCCTCCGATCCACAGTTAGCTTGCAGGTATGGGTTCAGCTGAGGAAAAGAGTTGAAAAATCCTGCCCTCATCTTTTTTATTTCTTAGTTATGTACACAGAGGCAGAGCATATTTTGGGCATTCTACTTACAAAATACAAAACTTTTAAGGTGATTTCCAATCACTAGTTCGTACATGATAGTTTCTGTGAACTTATTAATCATCTCCTTCAAGTAATTTCTTGATGGTCTTTCCTTTCATGTAAAGGGGTAAAGGCACCACTCCTGGGCATGGAACTTGACCAAAGAATTCGCAGATGCAATTTTTCTCACACATATATCCAAAATTAGCAGGGTTTTCTTTCTTCTCTCTTGCTTTTGCCTCTTTTTCTAATAAATCTCTGAAAAATAAACAAAAAAAAAATTTAAATTATGTATTAGTCGTCATGAAATACATAGAAGTGTTCTATTTTCCTAAAACAAGCAAGCCTGATTTCTGAGAGGCCTGTGCATGACCGCCTACAAAAATAATTAATTTGTGAGGAGGATAAAAACTTGAGAGTGTCCAGACTGAGGAAGTGACCTGAGATATGATTTAAACTTGAGGCGATAAGCTGCTCAAATAAGTTTTTACGACTGAAATATAAAAAAAAAAAATACACCATTAACCACAACAAAAAAGAGGGAATAGAGAGACCAATCTATTCAGCTGATGGCAGTACATAATTATGCATGTATATTTCAAAAGAAAAGATTCGAACCCAAGATTGAAGTTACAAGAGAGGAGTAAAACTAGGACTGTCATGTAAGCATGGGCGGTTCTACGGGGGTGCCAGTGGGTGCCGGGCACCCCTAAGCAAAAGTACGGTTACCGGAACCGTGAAAGAGGCTTTTGGGCAAGTAAAAACGTCGAGAAAAAATCGTATGATGAAGCGCAAAAAATTGGCAATATTTTTATTTCATGAATTTTTGAAATCTGCAGGTGTCCAGTATTCAATGATTATGGGCAAGGGATGATGGGAGGAGGGAGGATCTCGTCATTTTCCATCTTTTGGCACCCCCAAGCATGAAGGTCTAGAACCGCCTATTCATGTAAGTTCTGCTCTGCTGATACAAGATTTCCTCAAAGATGTAGCATAAATATGCTGACAGGCATGACTCCTTTTGAAGTTGGGCATTAAAAAAAAAAAAAAAATTGGAAACCTTGAATGACTGTTTCAAAAAAATGATTGCATATCTGCTGCCAGGAATTTCAAATGCACAGCAATGAACATTTGAATGATCATTGTACTTGTTCAAACAATAATAGAGCCTCCCTTGAGAAAAGTTGACATGAAATGAATTGGTCATGAAGGAAATTAATAGATAAACATCAATTAAGAGACAAATTGACAAATAATTCCTCTGTTGAAATCCTTCATTTCCAGGTTTTCATTTTTGTAGGGTAAACTCTGTATGATGATAAAAAAAGAAAAGAAAAGATGGAAAAAAGACGATATACTTACTCGGATTTTCCTAAAACTTTCATGACATGATCATGGATTGATTCTTTGCTTCTCCCTTCCAAATCAATTATAACACTATCTCCATTGTCTGAAATGAAAATAAAGTATATTAAGTACAATTCAAAAGGAAAAATTCAGGTATGAAGAATTATGATACACATAAGGGGGTAGGTGGAAGAAGGCTGATCACCATCAAGACACTTGGTGAGAAGAACTGAATTTGTTGTGTATTTAGGAGTATTTGTACAAAATTGTTTTCTAGAACATCAAAATTTTAAGAAACAAACAAAGATTTTGATGAAGGTAGATAAATGGGTCAATTTTGGGACCTAACCAGCCCGGTTTCAACTAGAGTACCTGTATAGGGAGAGTAGCGACAGATCGGTTCATGGAAGGCTAAGGGCCCAAAAGTGCAGCCACCCTTCTGAGCAACTTCTAACACACAAAATTTCACTGCCAGCCTACAGATTTCAATTCTAACCAAGATGGCTAAGAATGTACAGAAATGAGCGTTCTTTCGCAAAAATAAGTAAATTTATGCAAAAAGTAAACCAAATACATGCTTCCTAAACGACGGTTCGTAACAATTGTATTTGTAAATCGCTCTGGACATTCGAAATTCATAGGTTGGCTGCCCTTTTGGGCCCTAACTTTTAACTAAACCGCGGAGGCATCGGTGAAGGCCTGATGGACTTTCGGAGTTTCAGATCTGTCGCTACTCTCCCTATACAGTTACTCTAGTTTCAACACCCTTATATTATTTACCCGCTGAATTCAAAAGTCCATTATTTAAATTTATTTTCTCTCTTGCTTTACTCAAATTCACTGAAAAGTGTTAGTATTTCAATTCAGTGATCGTTTTTTATGTTAAAATATGATTATAAAGTTTGATACAGGATTTGTCCTATATAATGTTTCAAATTCAAAGGCCAGTCATTGCAGGAAGTGTCTTGGGAGATGTCCATCAGGGGGGTGGGATGAGGGTACAAGAAAAGGAGGATGGGGGTCTGGCGTGGTTTGACAGGTGCTGGATGGGGGGAGAAAGAGGGTCTGATGCGGTGTAACGTCATGCCAAAATCAGTGGAAAGTAACCATTTTTTTGAAATCTGTTGATAGTTTGGGTAAAATGTTGATGAAAAGTTCATATTTTTTGCTGAAAATGGAGTGAGTTTCATCAATGCAAAACCTTAAAATCTAAAGACAAAATAATCACTTCATTCACACTTAAACACTCACCTGTGAAGCATCTAATAAATGGTGATGGAGTCAAATCTTTAAACTCGACGACGTGAACATCAGGATTTTTATGTTGGAGTTGCTGCAGATGCCAAAATGCGAATTCCCTGAAAGAGAAAGAGGAATGTATTCAAAGGTTCACATGAAAATATGATTTTATCCTCAGTCCCAGGACAGCTAAAAATACCTATCAAGTAATAATTCGATGACCAAAGTGCGAAACCACATATCTCTGTTTGCGACATTACAGACTTCCCATCATACTTGTGTTATCTTTTCTTTAGTAAACCATTTAACAAGATTTCTTGAAAACTCCTTTGATGGCCTCCTTTCCAATGGCAGAATATCCTGTACAAATTTCAAGTTATAAAGTTGAATTGTTTCTCTTTTGAGAAATAAAATAGGAACAAAAATTTTGAAACACCACAAAGGAGACAAGTGGTTTTGCACTTTTGCCACCAAATTACATTCATTAAAACTCTATGCACCCAGGACTGGTCACAAACGTGTACTTGTTGTAAACGTGCAAATAATTAAACCTTGGTCCCCTACATTAAGGGATTTGCTTCAACTTAGGGCTTACATTCTTCACTATTTTTTAGTCCTGCTGCAAAATTCATGTTGAGATTTTGATTTGAAAGTTAAAATTTGTGCTCGAGGTTAGATTAAATGCGCTCTATCATTCCTAGAACACCATCCTCCCTCCGCCCCTAATCAAGCCAGCCCCACGTAACCGTTGGACAACAAAGACGCACAAGTAACAAGGATGGATTCTAATTCATGGTTTATTAGAGATTTTAAAGGGAAATGACCAATTACTATCGATACAGGTATTCACATAAAATTCTTACCTAGCTCCTTTATGATGATCTCCTCTAGAGCTGAAATTTAAAGAAAATATTTTTATTCTTTCCTTGAGAATGATTTGACCGGCATTTAAATACTTCAGTGTACGCCTGATGGGCACATGACCGTGCATAAAAGGCATGATCCTGGATGGAGATGGTGATTACAAAACAAGGCGAACGAGAACTTTGAACGGAATACTTGCAGTAAGTAAAAGTAATTGTTTTTTATTGGATTCCCTGAGCGGACCGATAAGTTTTTGGTTGAAAATTACATCGGAGAAAAACAATAGTGATCGAAATTTTTGTTAGGACTAATTTAATTTAAAATAATACTATCACCAACATGGACACACCATAATGACCATAACCATAACCTCAAACTACCAAATAAAATAAACAATGTTCGTGGATGAATTTCTGGAAATTAAGAATCCTAACCTATACAAAATTTTTCCGCAAAATCTTCAAATCTTCCGGCTCTTGTGTATTGTGAAAATTTTTACATTTACCCGTAGATCATTTTCCGGTTAGAGTCCCAATTGTTTCGGAGGACTGTGTGGTATCTTGTTTATCGTAAATTTGCTACTAGTTGAATCTTCAATCATGCTGATCAAAGTAAAGGTAAGGGCTTAGATCTATACTTCCTCATTCGTACTTCTCACGGAATGATAATGCTCATACCTCTTTATCGTTTCATGCTGCAAGAGTTCCAGTAGGAGCAAGAATTATACGAAAGTAGTTTATCATACCCTCCCAGGTCGCCAAGAACTTGTGTTATTAATTCCTTACCTGTTTCATCGCTGATTGTCTGTAGCAAGCCTCTTTCATCCTCAGATGCGTTATGCGCTGTCGAAGTAAACGCATCCTGTATCTTTTAGATTTTTTGTTTACAAGCCACAGCTTAACAGTCTCAGTGACCCTGGGAGACTGTTAAGCATCGTGTCAGAGAAGTTTTTTGATAGATCATTCCCTCATATACATGCAAGTCATGGGTTATGTAGTTGTAACCAAGTTGAAAAATGTTGCTTGTTCAGCATGGGGTTTGGATCACTCCATTTTCACAGGGTGGCCTTATTAGTTTATACCTGTTCTACTGCAGCAGCAATGTGATTGGGCTCAAAAGCTACCTGTTAAGCATCATACTACTCCAGAAGTTTTAAGGACTGTTGTGCAAGATAATATTAGTGTCAGCAAGGATATGCCGCTGTCTTATATTAGATATTTAGCCATTCTGATTTTAGCTTAACGGCGCAAAATTTGATTTGTTGATTGAGCATGTATTAAAAATTGTAACGAAGCATCACGTATCAATCTTATGTTTATCAATCATTTATTTTGTGAAATATGTACTTATCTCAATTTTCTATTTTCTTTTGTTCCATGTTTTCAATTTGATGTAGACTCTCACAGGAAAAGAGGTAAGCCATCCTTATTTTCAGTACCTATATCATCTCAATATTATATGTTTAGCTCACTACTTTTTTAATTGTAGTTTTTTGATTTTGCATTATGAGCAGTTCAGACTTGCAGATCTATTGCATGCATACATTCCTTTTTCCCTTCATGACCGCTGGTACCACATAAAATTGGACATTGATGAAAACTTTTGCAACAAACCTTGAAATAAATTAAAATTCTCACTCAAGAGAGTTTTGCGCTTGTTAAAATTCAGGGAAAAAATTTATACTAATAATGCAAATGTCATCAGCTTGAGAGGCAGTTTATTCAAAAGCATTGTAAACTCAGGAAATCTGCCAAGCCAATGGAGGGAATGTCACAATTTTTTTAAGAATATGGCACAGAATTTTAGTCTGAAAGCAGCGCCCATAGTTTTGCCTGCAAGCACTGATAAAAAATTATGATATTTTGCTTTACTTAGTTTTGAGTATATCATGAAAAAACAAGGGAGGGAAACGTAAAGCAAGGCTAAAAATACACAATAAAACACTGAAAAGTTTCGGCTTAAAACAAGCCATTTTCAGTCAGAGAAATAAGAATTAAAAAAAAAAAATTCAAAAAAAACCTGAAACCTACATGGTGATGGGCAAGAGTCATTCTCGAATCCTGGCCACCATCATGTAGATTTCAGGTTTTTTTTCTAAATTTTGTTTATTTTTACTTACTTATTTCTCCGACTGAAAATGGCTTCATTTCTGAGCTGAAAAGTCTTGGTGTTTTATTGTGTATTTTTGGCCTTGTTTACCGTTTTTTCCCCTTGCCTTTCATGTTATGATTGTCACAGGCTGCTGGGTAAAACTTGTATCTGTGAGTATTTCATTTTTTGTGTAATTTTCTAGATTGAAATTGATATCGAACCAACAGACAAAGTGGAAAGGATCAAAGAGAGAGTTGAAGAAAAGGAGGGAATACCACCGCAGCAGCAGCGACTCATCTTCTCAGGGAAACAAATGTGAGTTTGTTTTCTTTCATCTCGGATAAAGTTTTCTTCCCTGGCCCCTCCCTCCTAAAATTACATCAATGATAATCAGATGAGTCCCTCATTCAAACAGAGCAGTCAAGCAGCAAGTCAAGAACATGATGATTATTTTTTATTTGAAAAATTTATTAGTAGGCACCAAGGGGTAGCAAGATAACTTGTATTCTATTTTTTTAATGTCTGGTCCCTGTGATTAAAATTGTAAAAAAAAGGACTAAGTAAATTAATAGGAAAAGATATAATTCTCTGTAGGTACGTAAGCAAATGAGCCACTTAAGATTGAGTACCTCTATTATTATAATCTGAAATATTTTATAGCCTTGGAAAGGGCGGTTAACACTTTCCTAAAAACAACGTTTTAAACTATCAATAATGTTTAATTGCTGACTTGATTTAACATTTTTGGGCGTTATTTTTTTCCAGTCAAATTATTTTTAAACATCTTCTTTTTGCAGTACTTAGTCTCTAAATCTCAACTTGGATTTTTTGGAACTTTACGTCAGATTGTCTGTAAAAAGGCACAACTTAAGAGACGAAGATCCTAGCACCTAGCTTGTAGTTTTGGCATACATGTGTCTGATTGAATAACCTGACAATGTTAATTTACCAGGTATTGACGTGTGCTCTATAAAATTTCAGGAATGATGAGAAGACAGCGCAAGATTATAAAGTCCAAGGAGGATCTGTACTGCATCTTGTTCTAGCATTGAGAGGAGGCCTGTGATATTACGGAAGTTGTGTGAATATCTTTCTACATTAATTAATTTCATTTTTTTAAGTCCTCTCTGATTTCGGCGAACATTTACCGCTCAATGCTTCACATGTGATTAAATGTTCATATTTTCTCAAGTAATATCAATAACCAGTCAACAATTTTCTACATCTCACTCATGTATAGTTTGCAAATCATCAAACAAAGGGAGGCGACTAACTCGAGAATTCAAAGTTGCAGAAAAAGTCAGCAGCAACCCTATAAAATTCAAAGTGAGGCTGAATTTTTCAAGACTTTTAGTTCTCATTGAATATTTTTTATTTAATTTTTTTTTTTATTTGAACAGTGGAAAGATCTATTATGCCACTTTTTGAACACATTAAGAAAGAACTGTATGTTCTCTGAGGGTGTAAGATTGGATACCAAGGTCCAGATAAAATTTAGATGATCCTTTTCTGTATCAATTTTTTAAATTATTTTTTTTTCCTCATGATTTTTTGTTGTACCTATTGTGGGACTTGTATTTTTTTTCCAAACCTTTGTTTATCCTCATTTTAATTTGTTTCTCACTAATTTATACTTTCTCATTTATTTTTGATTTGCTAATAAAAATTTAACAAAAATAATTCTTTACCTGTTGTCATTGATATATTTAGTAGTGACCTCAATCCTGCATTTATGGTAGATGAGAGGTGGAAGTCCAAGGTTACTGCACAATGCTTGAAAATTCATGATTTAAGTCGCTTAAAATGTTTTTGCATAAGTCTCAGTAACTGTAAAAGGAAATATGCTCTTCGTCTCAAAATATTCACCAAATTCTCTGGAAAATGTCTATTTATTGTTTTAAAAAGAACTTATAATCTTAACAAGGCAAGGAGTTTCATTCCTCGTTATAAAAAATCATCAGGAACCCTGAACCTCGAGCATTCAGCAACAGAGATTCGCTATTCTTTAAATTATTTAGGTCTCAAATCATTACTCTCAAAGAAAACCAATGGTTTTACAATAACTACTTACAATTATAGTGCGTTGCTGTGTAAATTACTTTATCATCAAATTACAGCGAAGCAAGTATTATGTGCAGTATATAAACCTATGAGAAGCATAGGTATGTCTTGTGGAAGGGGAGGGGACCAAAAAGATTTAGGAGTTCTAGCATGATGATCTTGGTTTAGATCTAGGTCTAAAGTTTAGAATCTAAAACATTGAAATACCCATATTAGCTGAGGTAGAAAAAATTATTTAAGGAAAAGTAGGCCTATGAAGTTCATGGATCATAGAAATAAGACGGGTCTGCAAAAAAGGAAAAAAAAATCACTGAACGGCGGACTGTGTATAGTGTACTAAATACATATACTTAGTTGACTCCTATGTGATGTTGCGCACTGAGTTTGAAAATGATCTCAGTTTTACCCTCGGTCCAATATCTTCCTGTAAAATCAGAATTTTCGTTCAATGAAAAATTATGAAAATTGATTTTTTCAGGAAAATTTCAATTCAGGTTTGGGGGGGAGGGGAGTTCATGATGTAGAAGAACCAATTTCGTTTCGGATTCAGCAGCCGTAATTATACGTGGGTAGAGGAGAATCGTATGCCTAGAAAATTTTCCCTTTTGTATCTGATTACGAGGTTTTTGGGTCATATTGTCTGACCACACACTCGTATGTATGACTCATTCCTTTGTTTTCCATCTGAAAGGATGAAAATAACGAAATCAGCTGCATGATGGGGCTGTTCCCAAATTCCTCCTGTTGCTGAAACCGTAAAGGATCTCAGTTATTTTGCACCATCTATAAATTATTCGGAAAAGCGAATTTTCAAAAATTCCTATTCCTTGAGTTTTGTTTTTGTATTTAGGTATTCATTGCGAAATGATGCTGTCATACTTTTGTAAGCATATGTGTAGAAATGAACAAAATTGCCGCCACTTAATTTCGCCTTCAAATTTTACGGTGCAACCCACACCTCACCGAAGTTAATTAACAATAAGTTTTATCCACATATTGGCTGTATTCTGAATGTTTCTGTTCATCCAGGGGACCTATAGCTTACATTTTAGGGGCCCGAAGGTCAAGGCGCATGAAAGCAGTTTTTGCTACTGCGAGAAATACGTGCTCGAAGTGTCGAAATGACATGGATTCTGACAGCGGAAAGAAAGTTCGAACCGACGTTTTGATGCTCAGAAGTCTGAATTTGGGAGCGCGAATTTTTCACAAAATATGCACTAAGACTCGGTAGTTTTACTTGAAATCATTAACATAGGTATCAATTGTTTCAAAAACTGCACTTATGCGCCTTGTCCTCAAAGCCCCTCATTTGAGGAATTATCAATAAGGTGACGGCCAATGAAATAATTGACGGACACACACAGACATGCCAAGAAAAAACACTGTATGAGCAATCGTGCGGAAGTTGCCAAACATGTCTCCAAAAATTACTATTTTTGAGGGAAGATATGAATATTTTTCTTTGACAGTTTCAGACGATTTAGATGAAATTCCGAACTAATCTCTCTGGAATATTGAAGGATAAATATTCAAAATTTCCCCAGATAATCAGTTTTTTCAACGCAAAAGCAACAGCCGAAGTATTATGGCGTTTTTCTTTGAGGTAGAAGCAAAGTTTCCATCCCTAAACTACAATTTCTCTTTCATCTTGAAGCAAGGATGATGTGCCTTGCAGCGTAACTCGTCGTTAGCGCGCCTTCAAATTTGGCGATGCAACCCAACCCTACACCGAAGTTCATTAAGTTGTATCCACCGATTGGCTGTATCCTGAATCTTTCTCGGCATTCTGAGATGGACATGGACAATGTGGGGTAGATATGCAAGAAGACTTTAACGCAAAGTTAGAAACATAGTGGTCAGTTTCAAAATCTGATTCTCTTAGGCTGATTCTGATTCATATCAGATGTAATAATGATGATAATGATGATGTGTGCATTGATTTTAGGGGCAATGGGGACCTTTTACTTACTTTCGAGGTATTATCAATAAATTAGCAGAAACTCGAAGCCATGCTACGGGAAAACGCCGTAATAACATTATGTTGCTGAATGCCTCTCGAAAAAGAGCTATTTTGTAGGAAACTTATAAATGTTTCCCTTTGAAAGTTCCAAGTGATATATATGTCCAACTGTGGGAAAACTGTTCTGAAAAATTTGGAGAAAATATTCCAAAATTTATCCGAAAATTCGTATTTTATTCACGGTGATTTGGCAACAGCCGAAAGTACATACGACAATTTTCCTTTAGCGCGGAAGCATAGTTTTCAACCCTTAACTGGACCGCATTTTGCAATCTGGAACTATAAATTCTGGCCCTGTTTAAATACAACGTATGTGCCATTAGTTTCCCTATGCACATGAGTGTTTTTTCAGATGAGCCAGAATTTATAGTTCCAAATTTCAAAATGCAGTCCAACTGTAAATCCTATTTCATTAAAAAAAAAAAAAAAAAAAAAAAAAAAAAAAACTTAAATTGGGACTAAGGCCGCAAATAATAAAAATAAAAATAACACACCCGGGACGTTTCGCAGGGATCACACCCGCATTTTCAACCGGCAAGAACAAAAGAAACAAAAATTAGGAAGGAAGACACTATGAGCCTCACCGCTGCTATTAATTGTGAGACTGATAGTGCAACTAAAATAAACGAGCAAGTGCAACTTGAATCAAAGCTCATTCCTGGAAACAGAGTTTACTCAGGTGTTCCAGCTCCATTTATTCGCTCGTTTATTTTGGTTGCACTATCAGTCTCACAATAACAGCGGTGGGGCTCATAGTGTCTTTCTTTCTAATTTTTGTTTCTTTTTTTCTTGCCGGTTGAAAATGCGGGTGTGATCCCTGCGAAACGTCCAGGGATTTTTACTTTATTTCATGTGTTCTTTTTATTATTTGTAGCCTTAGTCCCGATTTAAGTTGTTGTTTGTTTGTTTTTTTTTTTGTCAATGTTTCGGGACGATTAAGTTGTTTCTTATTTCATTGTAAAATGAAGAAGATGGTGCTACCTACAGCGTGACGGTCGTTGGTTCGTCGCGTCGCATCGCTTGGAAACGAAATTACTACTGGTTCGCCTTCAAATTTGATGACGCAACCCATCACCCCGCCGAATTAAATCAAGTTCTATGCTACAAGTAGTGTGAGCAGGGAGTCAAAACGCCTTCAATTTTTTGAACGCAATGCGGACATCCGTCGAGGTTGTATAGTTGTATCAAGGCGCCGTAGCTAGCGCGTCCCATTGTTTATCGTTACAGACGAATATAAGTTGAGAGAGAGGGAAGTCATAATGCCTTCAATTTAATACATACATATTTTCGGGCAAAATGAGAGACGACGCTTCTCCATTTGCGACGTTGCAGACTTCCTGAGAAACTTTATTTTCTCGTAGGGAAGCTGGTCATCATAAAACTTAAATTCTCCATGATTTCTCGCATTCGATAGCAGAAGCTTTGATTCAAAATTTAAAGTCGTAAATTCGGATTGTTTCTCATGGAAGAGATGAAATAAGAACGGAAATTTTGAAACACCGTAATGGAGATACGTGGTTTTGCATTTCAGTCGGTGCGATACGGACATCCATCAAGTTTAAATAGTTGCATCAAGTCCCCGTCACCGCCGACCAATGCGTCTGTCGATCGAATCAACTACAGGATGCACCGATTGGCTTTATTCTGAATGTTTCTTCGCACCTGTCGTGGATATATAAACTTACATCTGAGGGGTTTGGAGGATAGGGAGCATATGTGTAGTTTTTGCTATTTCAAGAAAATACTTGTCCGAAATTTCGAAATTACACGGATCTTTATGGCGGGAAGAAAGTTCAACCTGACTTTTTGATGTTGAAAAATTGGGATTTGGGAGCAAATTTTCCACGGAATGTGCAACAACATTACTATTACATGAAATCTTTAATAACTCAATTTTTCAAAAATTACACTTATGCGCCTTGTCCTCAAAGCCCCTCTTTTGGGTACATACCAAGAAATTAAAGGACGCACACACAATTATGCCAAGGAAAAAGAACCGCCGTACCTGTGTGCAATCATGCGAATGTCGCCAAATGTCTCTCGAATTACTATTTTTGAGGATAGATATGAGTGCCGATGGCCAAAGTGCGAAATGCATGTAGCTCCATCACGTTGTTTCAAAATTTGATCCACTATTTTATTTTTTCAAAGGGAAACAAGCCACCTCCAGAGCATTCAATTTAAATGGAATATTCTCCTAACAGAGAAAAAAAATATCGGAATTTATCAATAAATTACGTTTACCAGATTTCTAAAGTTAAAATAAAGTATGCCAGGAAGTCTGCAAGTCTCAACTCTCAAATGGACTTACGTGATTTCGCACATTGGCGGCTATCGATATTCTTCTGTGACAGTTCCAGATACGAATAAACTTCTCTGGAAAGTTGCAGATACTGGTTAGGGCTGACGATGAAGGCGCGGCGGTCGCGATGCCGCGCCGTGGCGCCTTCAACTTTTTGTATATGCAACATTGACATCTTCAGAGCACGAATAGTTGCTTCGCTTCAAGCCGTTCGACGATGAAATTCAGAGCCTCGGCGAATGCGGCGACCGGCGCGGCGTCGGCATGCAGTGACGCCGCGCGGCGCGACGCCTTGGCCCGCTCTGTTCTTAAAATGTAATAACAATATTACTTTATTTTCTTATCCCATTTATTTATTATAATTTTATTTTATCTTAAAGTTCTGCGTAGTAAAGTAAAATAGATCATACGTGTACTATTCCAGTAATTAAAGTGAACATTTCAGGAAAATATATTTTGTTTTGGGTTTTTTTTTTATTTCATTTCGATGATTTAAGTGAATTTCAGTGGGCGAGGCATGACCCAAGTAGCATTTTGCAACGAAAAAATTGCAATTTAAATGCAATAAAATTTCCAGATGATTTCAACTTTCTTGCAAGAAAATTGCAATTATTTTACAACATCTGACCCCCTCATTGTAAAAAAGTTGCAATTTTTTTTTTTGCAAAGAAATTTCAATATTGACGACCTTTAAATTTCAACCCCTAAATTTTCCGGGGAAATTATGATAATTCGAACCCATGCTTACCTAATGTCCTACGACGTTTAGCAGCATAANCAACATGATTGCACCGAAATTGCAGTCTTTATAGTACCTTGAAAAAGAAGGTTAGGCAACAAGCATAATCTACATTTCTTGCAAACTTATTGCAATAAAATTGCAACTTTTTAAGCGCCTTCAAATGAACGTATAGGCAACAAGCAAAAATTGCAATCAACTCACAATCCATTGCAATGAAATTGCAATCCATGCTACTTGGGGATTGATCCATCTGTATTTTTCCATTTGAAGCCATGGTAAAGAATCGATTATTAAGGTGTTCGTTGAGAGCACCCTATCTATCGATCCTTTTCCATTAGTTTAAATGGCCGATCAATCGATTTATCGCAAAGCACGCCACGCCACTGGTCAATTTTGATTTATTTTACAACAAAGTTGGTTTTTAAATACGCGTCAGCTACCCACTTGAGCATTTTAAAAGCCTGTGTTTTTTTTTAAACTCCGTTTGTAGAAAGATCCTTTGTGCTTAGTGACGTCATCATGAAGTTGATGTAGATTTTGGGGGAGAGGCTGAATTAGCTAAATGGCAACCGCGATTACATGACCGGAAATACTCACTGGATCGCAACGACGAAGTTACGGCCTAATCTAGCCTGGTAGTTCGTGCGTCTTATCTTATCACATCAGGAGGACTCTCGCGCTCCGGAATTTTATTCCGTCCAATCAACTCCTCCGAAAAAATATCTAATTTTGCCTCGCTCCATTCATAAAAACCGGTTAACGACGAGAGACGAGACTGTAGTGCGTGCTGTAACAGTCGTCGCGAGTGTAATCATCCCATCTCTTCTCGTGGTGTGTCTCTGTAACGAATAAAGTCGCGACAACTACTCAACGTAAAACCAGATGCTTAGGCATCAAAGCCCAAGTTAACGTTAGGGAATCAAAGTAAGGCCGTTATTTCCAGTCTAAAACATTCGGCCAAGAGAGTGTTGTGATTCGATCGAGCGAAAGAGGGAAAAGTTGTGTTAATAATGAATTCTGAAATTTGTTGGACTAGTTTTTTTTTGTTGACCGTGGCGCTCTCTGGCGGCGAATCGGCTGCTGGTCTCGGCTCCGATTTTTTAAGGGCGGAAATTCAAACGTACGCGCCAATAGTGCAGAAAATTTTCAAGTACGTAGTGGACGGAGGCTACAAAAACGTCACGTATGATTCACTGGCCGATTTTACGGATCGTTTCGGGTCGAGGCTTGCCGGTACCCGCAACCTGGAGGATTCCATCGATTTTATTTTGGAAAAATCTGAGGAGCTTGGTTTGGAGAATGTGCGCGGGGAGGATGTGCAGGTGCCACATTGGGAGAGGTCAGTGCTCGGTTGTTCCGTTGCTTTGTTGTAAAGTAGTATAATTTTACTGCCGTATGCTGAGGAAAAACGCGCCGTATGTACATTCAAATGTTGCCAAATTCCCTCTCAGAATAATGTATTATTCTTTTTTAGAAAAGTTACGAATATTTTTCATTGCAATTTTCAGAAACTTTAGATCGAATTACGAGGAAACTTTCGCGAGAAATCGTGAGAAAACTATTCGCATACTTCTCAAAAAAATTGTGATTGGTTGAAGGAAATTTGGCAACGTCTGAAGGCTCATACGGCGTTTTTCATTAGCATGGCAGATTACCTAACATGCTATGGCACCCTTCATGGAGAAAAATAAAGCACTATTATTAGGGAACATTGCACTCGTTGCGAGAGAGTAGATTGACATGAACCCCTGGTAAAATTTCATCACCTCAAAATTACTTTTTCTCGCTATTATGTTAATTTTTTGTTATAACAGAGAAAGGAGTTCTTTAGTTATTTTCCTTCATATTTTCCGTCCCATTTCGTAGAGTCTTTGAAAATGGGAACTCGATACTGATAAATGGAAATTGAGCAACTATTAAAAATTAAAAAATTGAATGATGAAAATATAGTCAAAACTAGTCGTCAAAAATAGTGATCTCATAACGATTAATGGCAATTAAATAGCTATTTCATCCTCCAAAATCGAACATGACTATTCATAGCAAGTATGTATTTCACAGGTAAGGGTAGTTTAAAATTGCTATTTAGTAGAGGTTATACATAGGCAAAAAATTGACAATAAATAGCTTATTGTATTAGCTATTAACACTATAAATTCTAATCTCCAAGAAATTGCAAAACAATTATATTTTGGTTGTCAGATTCACTTTTCTCTTTTGGCTAAAAGAGCTGAGGTCTTTTGTAAGGGAGGGGGGGGGAGTGTCAAGTGAGCTATCTTTTTGAGAGGTATATTTAGGTATACGACTCCGGTAGATCGCTCATCTGCTCAGCTGACTATTTGTTATAAATGTGGTTGACTGATGTCATTAATTTATTGCATCATGATAAAATTATGCGAGTAAAAAAAAAGTACGCGAGATCATGGGTGTAGAGAAGGACATCGTGCACGATATCAGGTCCAAGCAGTTGGTCTGGTATGGACATGTGCGAAGGATGGCAGACGACCGGTTGCCCAAGCAGGTCTTCGATTGGGTTCCTCCCGGAAGGCGACGGCGTGGACGTCCTGTGAAAGGTTGGCGACAAGGGGTGGAGGAGGAGATCAGAAGGTGCCAATTGCCTGATGATCTCTGGGAGGATAGGGGGCAATGGCGATTGGGCGTCGCAGAGCGCGAGGCGGCGCTATAAAAGCGACTTTATGTATGTATAAAATTATCGGTATAGCGCAGAAATTAGCAAAATAAACCCTCGATGTAGCGCACTCTCAGTGACCTTTGGTCGGTTGATTATGACTTCATCCGCACCTCGTCTTATCTGAAAATAAATGTTTCGACAAATAATACCATAAAGTAATTTACATCTGTAAAAAGGTCAACGTCTTTGGTTGCTAAATAACCTGATACACAAAATTATCAGAGGCGGGTCCAGCAATTTGGCAACACCGGATTTCTTCCATTTAAACCTATGCTAAATAATCGATTCGTGTCGAAGCACCTAGTCCTTCCAAGATTCGATACATGTCTATAGGTTCAAATGGAGGACAGGGCTGGATTTACTTGCTTGCCGCCCATGGGCCGCCTGTATTTTGCTGCCCCCTTTTCAATCGTTTTGAAACATCGATAAAAAACATCATGTGAACGTGACGGAGGGGGAGGGGTGCATAAAAGACGCGTTTACTCGTGTTGGACACATTTTTTGCGAAAGCCCTGTCAACACTACTAGCAAAAATTCGCGTAACTTGGCGCGAAAGTTAAGTTCCGTAAACCTATCTCTGTGTGGACAAGGCCTTCCATTTACATGAAATGAACGAAAATATAATTAAAGAACAAACATGAATGTGTTTTAAAAAATTTAACTTCCGCCGCCGCGCTGCTGCTGCACGCACTAAGTTTGACGTAATGCGTGAAGTATTCATGCAGTCTTGTAGGCGCTAAAATGTGTTATATGCCGACCGCGCGCCACGCCGAGGGCTTCTCCTGTTCATCTCAAGTTCTCGTCATCATTGCTCTCTGCGCCGCGCCGTTCCAGGTCAAATTCTGTGTTCGGTTTCTCTCTTGGTCTTAATTCGAGTAATTAAAGGCGCTGTCCATTGTATCGCAGAAAGACGACAAAATTAGAGATATACCCTCGGGAAATGAGAGATTTTGTCACTTTTTCTCGTTGATAATTTTTTTTCTGAATCCAATTTTTCTATAGCTACATTTAAAAAAATTTCAAAATTTGCCGCCCCTGAAATTTGCCGCCATGGGCCGCGGCCCATGTGGCCACCCCCTAAATCCGGCCCTGATGGAGGAAAGACAATGTTCCCAATTTGCTGGATCCGCCAATGTATATTATTGCGATTATGATACGAACGTATCTATGCTAAAAGGGACCTCGTAAAAATGAATGAAATCAAGTGGGATCACGCAAAGGGTTCGCGTGCTGAATAGTTGTGTTTTATTTAATTCATTTACGAGAAGTAGAAAACGAGGAGTTTCATCCGTATGCAATACGCTCAAACGATATGCTCGACATTAATGAGCAATGATGATGGTATTTATTTAACACCTGAATGCAACTATGACTGCTCCAAGAATGGGCGTACTGCATACAGATAAAAGTGAAGGCGCGAGCGGTTTAGTCGCATCTCGCATCCAGACGTTAAAAATTACCTGATAATAAGGGATGGAAGATAATTCGTTTTGAGTTTTAAGATAGGTATACCTATGCATTCGATTGAGGAGTTTGAAGGACAAGGCACATAGGTGGTGTTTTTGCTATTTCGAAAAATACGAGTTTGAAGTTTCGGAATTACATGGATTCTTATAGCCGAAAGAAATTTCAAACTGACTTTTTGATGCTTAAAAATTGGAATTTGGGAGCGAATTTTTCACAGAATATGCAAAAACACTATTATTACATGAAATCATTAATATCTCCATTTTTTAACAAACTGCACTTATGCGCCTTGTTCTTCAAGCCCTTCAATTGCACTGAGAGAAGGTGGAAATCGAAATTTATGTGAGGAGGAAATCGCTTCCTTTGTTGTTTCTTGTTGCGCCGAGGATAATATAATTGTTGCATCCGGTAGCGATTCTTGAAAGTTAGAAATACTGTTTTTCTCCGTCTGAATGTATGGCCCTGATAAAAATCGGCAGTAGAATCTATGTTCCAAAATACCATAGACCTTACAGCCGGCTGTAAGATTTCCAATAGCTTCTAGCCGGCTACACAATTTCTTATAGCTTTTTATAGCCGACGGCGACTAAGCAACAGCCAGGCGATAAAGTGTATGCTAAATGTTATTAATTACGCATGCTAGGACTTAGTGAGTTTTTGCACTACTGCTCTCTTGGGCCGTAGTATCTTGATTTGTTTTGCAAGGAAAGTTCCGTACTTTTGATGGATGCCTGCCATTCCTAATATATTAAAGCGCCTTCAGTTTCGTATGATACTGTGCAATACCTCTGGTGTGAAATAGTTGCTTCAAGCGCCGTGGCACGCTGCGGCGCGGCAGGCGGGCAGCCAGCGCGAAACGCGCATAGGCGCCTTCAAATCTAACTGGGATACTTCACGCGTTGCGCACTGCGTGAAGTATCCCTGTTAGGTTTGTAGACGCCAGTGCGTTATGCCGCTCCGCTTTGTGTTAGGCTCTAATATTTAATCGGGCGGAGTCAGCGTTATTCAACTCATGATTTTGAAATGTTTGCACATCCGGTATGTATTATTCTCATTTTCATTGATGAAAAAAAAAAATGTATTAAAGGAAAATATAATGTGTGTTTTGTAAATATTAAGGTGGTTCCGTATTAAACTTAATGATTTCCAAAGCACACGAATTTCTACACAAGTTCTTATAGCCTTTTATAATCGATGGCGAAAAAGCAACAGCCAGGCGATAAAGTGTAAAGCCCTGCGATAGGAACTATAGCCCGGCTGCATAATTTTGTATCGCTTCGTATAGCCCGGCCGTATAATTTTCTTCGCATTCTACAGCCAGCTATATGATTTTCTGTAGCCTTCTTTAGCCGGATATAAGAATTCCTATGGTATTTTGAAACGCAGCTCTTATCGCCAATTTTTACCAGGGGAGAACAATCGAATCTTGGCAAGGCAGCTTGTCTCATCTAAAATCAATATTTTCAATGGATTTAAATAGAGGAAAAACAGTGTTACATGACTTGAAAAATCGCCACTGGTTGCGTCGAGGGAACAACTTATTGCGCCCAGTAAAATTTCAGCTGGGACAACGCAAGTTTACCTACCGTGATTAAAATTTTCGGGTTGTGATGGAATCATTTGATATTATTTTACGTTTTTCTCGCGACAAAGAAAAATTTCTCTTCATAGCACACTGGAAAGAAAAACCACATTGGATCTAGAGTCCGCAGACTCTTAAAAACATCGACAAGAAAAAGTACTCTTGATTCAATCAGAATCTAGCTTAAATCAAGAACCAAGCCTCTTAATTTAAGCGAATTTGGTTTTGATTCAAGCAAAAATCCGATTGAATCAAGAGTATTTTTTCTTGTCAATGTTTTCAAGAGTCTGGACTCTAGATCCAATGTGTTTTTTTCCAGTGCAAATCATATTTCCAGGTGTATTTATGTTTATTCTATGTTCATAAAATTCATATTATTCATAATATTTCATACAATTCCAGAGGCTACGAGGCGGCCTACTTGCTGAGCCCGAGGAAAACCGAGATCAAAATTTTAGGCTTGGGTCATTCGATCGGCACCCCACCTGAGGGTCTGACTGCAGATGTTGTCGTCGTGGACTCTTTTGAAGAACTTGAGCGGTTGAACAGCACCAACACAGATGCAGTAAGTATAAAGTTGATGCAACCCAAGTAGTATTTCTCAACGGAAAAATCGCTATATATTGCGATTTTATCGGCGATAAAATCGCCAGGATCGTCAGCATCTGAGCGATTATCCTCGACTTTACCACGATAAAATCGCGCTTTTATCGCCCGACAATTTATCGCGATATTTTCGAAATAAAAATCGCGATAAATGGCGGTTTAATCTCGATTTTTTCAACAAAAGTTGATCAAGATTTTATCGAACCAAAAATTGCGATTTAATCGCCATATATCGCGATTTTTAATGCGATAATATCTCGATGTATTGCCACCGAAATAATGGCGATGACCAACTGATAAAATCGCTATTTCGTCACCTTCCAGGCAAAGTATCACAAGCGCCATGCGACGTTTAAAAATTTCCGCCGCCATTTTATTTTTTTACAGAGAAATTGTTCAACGAAGCTGTCCGAAAATTTCACTGAATTTTCTTTGTGCTACCGATAAAATTTAGTGAAATTTCCAAACAGATTCAACCAACAATTTCTCAGTAAAGAAATAAAATGGCGGCGGAAATTTTTAAACGTCGCATGGCGCTTGCGATACTTTGCCTGGAAGGTGACGATTTATCGCGATCACTGCTACTTGGGGCAACTTGGGAAGTGGCGGCGAGGCGTGAATGATCGATTATCGATTTCCCCATTTGGAGCTATGGTGAAGAATCGATTATTAAGGTGTTCGTTGCCAACACCCTCTTTATCGATCCTTCTTCATGAGTTTAAATGGCAGATCAATCGATGTTTCGCAAAGTACGCCTCGCCACTTCATGTATAAGAATCATGACCTAGAGACAAAAGCCATTCATTGGGTGTGTAACGGTACTTTTGTACATATTTTTCACCTATCTACCCAACCGCAACTGTAGTAAAACAACTCAACCTTTTGCTCTAAGTTTTACAAAATAACCGAGGAATGCGGAAAAAATCAGAGGGACTCTTCAGACTTTCGTTTAATATGCTGTCCTCTCAGGAAAATTGGTGGAATTGTTGAAACATAGCAATGAGCCTCTGGACACTGTAATAAATGAAGCACTAGGTGTATAATATACAATTGAATAACAATTTAAAAAGCGGGCAACAAGAATAAAATTTCACGAATAAAACCAAAACGTTTCGGCTGAAAACTCAGCTTTCCTCAGTTGGATAAATAAAAAGAAAAGTTGTAAAAATCTAAAATAGTACCTGGCTGTACCTTTCAAAGTGAGAATGTTGTTATGTTGTTATGACAACTATTTTAGATTCTTACTATTTTTATTTTTATTTGTCCAACTGAGGAAGGCTGAGTTTTTAGCCGCAACGTTTTGGTTTTATTCGTGAAATTTTAGCCTTGTTACCCGCTTTTTAAATTTTTATTATTATGTATATCTTATCGCGGGCTGCGGAGCGTTTATCATATCTCATGTACAGTATATGTTTCCTTATCAAACTTATGGATAAAAATAGACACAATATGAATGTCCAAATTCAGTTCATGCTGCGAAATTAAATTTTTAATTTTTAAATTTAAAGTTTTATTCTATTGTATATCTTATCGCGGGCTGCGAAGCGTCTATTATATCTCTTGTACAGCATACGTTTCCTTATCAAAATTATGGATAAAAATAGACGCAACAAGAGTGTCCAAATTCAGTTCATAGTGCAAAATTGGGGTTTTTGCCTGGGAAATTTTAAGGAATGAAAAATTTTGATTTTCGAGGGAACATGTCTTGCAGCAGCTTGTCCTTTATCGCTCATTCTGTCTAGTTGTCTATTAACCCTTAGATATCCAAGACTTTTTAAACGCTAAGCCCAAAGTCGGATCAAATTGACCCGTATTTACATACGTTGATTTGAGCCCTTGAAGCACCAATACACACAAGACGAACGAAACCAACACAACATAGAGCAAGGGAAAAGACGCGCATTGATGACGGCGCCGAGATACAACTATACGTCCTTGATGGATGTCCGTGCTGCATCTGCGAAATTGAAGGCGCCATGGCGCGAGACGTAAACTCGCAATACTTCGCTCTATGCTGCTGATGAGGTGTCGCTTAGGTTCGGGAGGAAAGTTTAAAAACGAGGCCCGATTACGTTTCTCCTATCGACGGATGTGTTGCTCACGCAGTCCTTGAAGCACCACTACAAATAAAAACCGATGGAACCAACATAACATGGAAATAGCAGGGAAAGGACGCTCATTGATGACGGCGCAGAGATACAACTATTCGTGCTTGATGGATGTCCGTATTGCATCTGAAAAATTGAAGGCGCGATGGCGCTAGACAATAACTCACAACGATTAGCTCTATACTTCAAATGAGGACGTGTCGCTTGGATTCGGGAGGAATGTTGAAAATTGAGGCCCGATAAAGTCTCTTTGGCTGCTTTGGCGACACCCGTTTTTTTTCTTTACTTAAAATTTGATCACGCGTTTTTAGCAATCTTCGAGTCAATTTGAGGGGCTTGGAGGACAAGGCGCAGGCTGTTTCGAGAAATACGTGTTTGAAGTTTCGAAATTACATAGGTCCTTGTGACAGAGAGACAGTTCAAACTGTCTTTTTGACGCTTAAAAATTGGAATTTGGGAGCAAATTTTTCACAGGATAAGCGATAAGACCAGTTTCACTCAAAATCTATATTATCTCAAGATTCGTTTGGAGACCCGCACAAGATAATTGATCAAATAAAATGATGACTCGATGGTATATTTTAATTATTCTACTTTGGATTCTTTTTGACTTTAGATCGCAATTGTGTTCACTGCATGTTGATAATTTCTGGATTTAAAAAAAAACGATTTAAAGAGTCCTGAAACTGAAAACCTTGCCAAATGCGTCAATATCACATCTATAATATTATCTCATTTTTTTTTCAAAAACCGCACTTTTGCGTTTTGTCCTCCAAGCCCCTCATTCGATCCGGCTTGGGCATTTTAGGGTTAAGATACATGTAGTCCCAGACTTTAACCATGAATAGAGATGTTGCATGTGTGAGGGATTTGCGATTTGATCATTGATTCGTATGTAAAAGTTCGCGAGAAACACAATGGTGCCACTGGTTTTCTCTGAAATCATCTCCCAAGCTCAAAAAAAGCTCTAAAAGTGGGGCCAAAATGGAGGGGATATCCCACCCTACCCTGAGAGTCCACCTCTACATCAAAACAAACTCTCCATGCAAAGATAGGGAGCAAATACACTAGCAGGGTTGCCACTTTATTTGGGGACTCCAAAACTGAAAACACGGCAACCCTGCTAATGTATTTGCTCCCTATCTTTGCATGAAGAGTTTGTCTTGATGTAGAGGTGGACTCTCAGGGTAGGGTGGGATATCCCCTCCATTTTGGCTTCACTCTGAGAGCTTTTTTTGAGCTTGGGAGTTGATTTCAGAGAAAACCAATGGCACCATCGTGTTTCTCGCGAACTTTTACATACGATTCAATGGTCAAATCGCAAATCCTTCCCCTTATGTAACATCTCCATTTGGTTACCTTCACCTAAGGGTCTATTAATTTTCATGATTGCGTTCTCAGATCAAAGGGAAGATATTGGTGTTCAATGAGGCTTACGTATGGTATGGTGTGACGGTGGAGTACCGGGGGAGAGCCGCAGTGGAGGCGGGAAAATACGGAGCAGTGGCAACATTGGTCCGCTCAGTGGCTCCCTTCTCCATAAATTCTCCCCATACAGGCTCCATGAACTACGCCGAAAACGTCACCAAGGTCCCCGTTGCTTGCATCTCCATCGAAGCAGCAGAGATGCTTCGCAGAATGGTCGATAGAGGTTAGTAGCATAATAGACAAAATAGAAAATAACAGTAATATTTCAACCTACATGTAGTTTGAAATATTACTATAGTCATTTTTGGCTTGGAGCTCGATTTTTTAATCAATTACCATGTTCTATACAGCTTATCCAGCCAAATTTGGCATTAACTTGGATAGAAAAGAACTTATATGCGCATGTTGAAAATTATAATATTCTGCTCCTATGTTGAGGATCCATTCACTGAAAAAAAAACACATTGGATCTAGAGTCTAGACTCTTGAAAACATTGACAAGAAAAAATGTTCTTAATTCAATCGGATTTTTGCTTGAATCAAAACGAAATCCGCTTAAATTAAGAGGCTTGGTTCTTGTCGATGTTTTTAAGAGTCTGGACTCTAGATCCAATGTGTTTTTTTTCCAGTGTTGAGTCAACTGACTCGTAAATCCAGTCAAATGAGACTCCAACTTGGAGACAATTAAAGTTAATCAGAGGCAAATTCAGTAATTTTAAAGCCAATCAGAGTCAAGTATAGCCAAGGGCTTGCAAGTAAATCCGAAGTTAATGTGAACTTATCTTCAATATGCAAACAAAATATCACTATCAGTGTGCTGTGCAGTATTCGAAGGCTCCAGTGGATACAAATGTGAAGAATTTCCTAAAATACCTGCCCAAAATGAGTTGGGTCCCGCGGTTCTGCTCTGTTAAAATTTAACGATATTATATTATCTAACGCATACGATATCATTACATTAAAGTATTGTGAAAGCACCACAATGACGATAGATTTTGATTTTAACGCATTTTTAATTGCAGACTCAAGAAATGATAAACATTTTTCCAAATGCTTTTTTAAATTTCGGGAAATGGCCTGATTCTGAAATATGAAAAAGTATTTATTTATAGTCTGTCCGAGATGGGAAGGTCCGTGGAAAGTCGGAATTAATTGCACTATGTAGAAACAAGGGTAGCGTTCGAGCCATTGTAAGAGATGAAGACACTGAACCAACCCTGTGTCGTGGCTCACCGCACAGAGGGCTGACTCCTTATGAGTCGCTTGCCGCATCGCGCAGCTCGGCGCCTAGCACAGGAATTTGCGGCTCCAGGTTCATATCCCGGGAAAAACCGCCGCTCCAAGGTCCATAGCCTCCTGTGCGGTGGCTGCGGCGTGCGCGAAACATCGATAAGTGACAGTTGACGAGGGTCGAGACACCCCCACCCTACAAAATAGTGCTAATTATTCCGACTTTCCACGGACCTTCCCATCTCGGACAGACTATAATATGTATAGAAATGTCTTGCCTCGTGGAAAAAAAGGTTTAACTGTTTTTTAACGCGACCGGTAAATGCGCGGCCGCCTCGCGCTGGTTTCTACCCATGCGTGAGCGGAAGGAAAACATGAGCGCCTTCAGTTTTTTGGATATGCAACAAGGACATCCATTGAGCGCGAATAGTTGCATCCAGGCGTTACTATCACATCGGCTATGTGATTGAACGTTCTTTCTCCATTTCCCGTTTCCACTTCTGTGCAACAAGTTTCTTTTAGTGGATTGTAACCCTATTTTTCATATAGATATACGCGGATGCATTTCATTAATTCATATACTTACGCGCGTAAAGGCGGTTAAAGTCGACTTCTGCATATCTTCGTTGCAATCCTGCTTTTTTCAAAATAGAATACGCAATTAAATATCTCTTTTAAATTTTCTGCGAGGATTATTTACCGCGCAAAGAAAATCCTTAAAATATCTGGACTGCATTTTGCAATTTGGGACTATAAATTCTGGCTCATCTGAAAAAAACACTTATATGCACAGGGAAACTGATGGCACAAACGTTATTTTTAAACCGGGCCAGAATTTACAGTTTCAAATTGCAAAATGCAGTCCATTTCAATGACAACAGTGGGACTGCATTTTGCAATTTGGACCTATAAGTTCTGGCTCATCTGAAAAAACACGTATGTGCATAGGGAAACTAAGGGCACATACTTTGTTTTTGAACCGGGCTAGAATTTATAGTTCCAAATTGCAAAATGTAGTCCAGTTACACAGTGTTTAAAAAAAAAAAAAAAAAAAAAACTTAACAAGAGCGGGGCTGCGGGGGCTTGCAGCGCCAACGATCTACTTTTTCATTTTAGCCATCGATATTTACATTTAGCTCTTTCTTTTCTAATTTTTTGCGTTGAATTTCAGGTTCACAAGTGACGATAAAACTGATAATGAACGCGAAAGAATACGGTCCTGAGACCTCACGGAATGTCATCGCGGAAATCGGAGGGTTTTCCAAGCCACTGGAGCAGGTCATTATCTCGGGTCACATCGATAGTTGGGATGTCGGGCAGGGAGCGATGGACGACGGTGGTGGCGCTTTCATCTCGTGGCACAGTCTTATCGTCCTCAAAAATCTGGGGCTACGACCTCGAAGAACAATCAGGTATGCTCAATCACACAGGTAAAAAAATGAAAAAAAAATAAAAAATAAAAAATGAAATAAAAAAAAATCAAAAAAAAAATAAAATAAAAAAAAAATAAAAAATAAAAAAAAATCCAACAAAAATAAAAAAATAAAAAAATAAAAAAATAAAAAAAATAAAAAAATAAAAAAAAATAAAAAAATAAGAAAACAAAAATAAAAGAGAAAAAAATTAAATAGAAAAAAGAATAAAGAATAAATAAAGAAATAAGAAGAAGAAATCAATAAGAAAGAAGAATCAATTTATAAGAATAAATTCAATCAAAGAAATCAACATTAAAAAATATAAAGTTTTTATACATGTTGGTCCTTTTTTCTTGGCGAAAGAATGAGTATTTAAATTGGCTCTGGAAAATTTTTACTCTCGAACGTGCTTAAATCAAAAGGGATTATTCCCATTATAGCATGAACCCTGTCATGCATAAATTTAATCTTCAGTGGTATGGCGTGCTTTGCGATGAATCGATTGATTTGCCGTTTAAACCTATGGAAAAGGATCGATATAACAGGTTGTTTGCAACGAACACTCCAATACTCGCGATTCTTAATCGCAGCCTCAAATGGGGATCGAGATATCGATATTCGATCATTCACGCCTCGCCACTGGTAATCTTATGAATCTCAGGGCTGAGGTTGCTATGAAGATTGGTCCTTATGATTTAAGGTGATTCGATGGACGCCATGTTTTGTGTCAGAACGACGTGCGATATATCGCATCGATTGGCTCTACTTTTTCAGCTACTAATAATTTTTCTCGAATTTTGAGATCGCAATTCTGTTGTCGGGAGACTAAAGCACTCACTTACAAATTTTTACAAAGAAATTCAACGTAATAAAGGCGTGGTTTTTTTAGAGGGAAAATATCGCATTCGATACTGATATCGAAACTGCACTCGAATGCGATATTTTCCCTCTAAAAAAACCACGCCTTTATTACGTTGAATATCTTTGTTAAAATTGGTAAGTGAGTGCTTTAGTCTCCTGACAACAGAATTGCGATCTCAAAATTGGAGAAAAATGACGAGTAGCTGAGACATTGAACCAATTGATGCGATATATCGCATGCTGTTCTGACACCAAATATGGCGTCCATCGAATCACCTTAAATACGTTCAATCGACTTTTGACCATTCTGAAAATCATGGCAATTTGATGTAGTAACATAGCCAGTAACTTAATCATTTAAAAGAAATACAGGACGTGGTTATGGGAGTAATTACAACGTTGAAAAATTCTTTGGCCGGAAAAACAATAAGTCGTATAAACCGAAAAAAAAGGATGTTTTAAGCTCTTCCAAGATCAACGGGAAAGGCACGACGCTATGATGCAACTTGATTACCCTCGGAGATTTCAACGAAGAAATTCCATTTTTCCCAGTATGCCTTATTGCTTCTTCTACCAAACAATTTTTCAGCGTTGTAATTACGCCCATAACCAGATCCTGTAATTTTTGTTCATATTTTTTAATTTTTGAAAGGTGCTTCGACATTCTATTTTAAATGACTGTGAATGGATGTTATAATTATTTCTGAATTTAGGCGGCATTTCGGGATTACGAGAAACTTAAACAAATATAATGTTACTGTTGAATCTGAAAAATTAATACATTTTGAGACCGCTATGGTCCCGAAATTGGAAAAAAAGGGAACCCGTTTTTTTTTACATAATTCAGAAAAATAACTGGCGAGGGCTCTCGCAATATTTTATAATAGCCTACGTATGCATTCTGACTATAGCCCGCAAAATGCTGAGGTTTTTTTAAATCTATATTTCACCCTACTGATACTGATTATTCCCATACTTTTGAACTTTACAACAAGAACTACCCAAATTTACCCGGAATGAGCCGTAATTTTGAAGAGCTAATGCTTAAAACATACTCTCACGAGGAACAAGTTATAGTGTCTTGCCTTTCAATCCTGAGCCTCGGGATTTGTTTGCGAGGCAGTTGTCAATCATCATTGTTTGTCTTTTTTCCAGAGGAATCCTATGGACGGCAGAAGAGTGGGGATACGTCGGAGCGAAAGAATATTTGAACAGGCACAGGTCCGACTTGGAAAAAATAAACTTTGTGATGGAATCAGACGGGGGAACGTTTACGCCCCTCGGGTTGGAGGTCGCTGCATCTGATGCGGCCGCCACTGTAATCCAAGAGATCTTGAAGTAAGGATACTTTTTCTTGCTTTCGATATTTATTTTTATCGCACGGTTGTACATAGGGTGTCCCAAAAGTACTGCCCCTTTTTCCGCAGAGGGCGAAAGAATGCAGGTATCAAAATGCGGTTTGTGTGAGGTTATAGTCCTAGTAATTATCTATAAAACAAGACCAAGTTGAGCTCTGTAGCTTAAAATTTGACCGAGATACAGCATTTTGAAAGTGACGTGTCAAGGTGCCGCCTACGAGATTTTCAACATTTTTTACGGACGAACCCTAGGACGAACAGACACGACGCATCTGCAGGTGGTCCTTTAAGATCCGGTGCAATGAACTTTTTGAGATGTCAAGCGACACCTGAAACTTACGCAAGGATAAATGACGGTCTCCTCGAACAACAGCAGCAACGGTACCGATTAATTCGTCTGTGGTGGAGGTAGACGGTCGGCCCGGTTTCGCGGGACTTTCCGCCGATTCGCGGCCGCCAGAAAAAGATTTAAACCAACGACCAATGCTACTTCTGTCCAAACAGTCGTCTTTATACACGCCTTTCATTTCATTAAAAGTGTTTTTTACAGACATTCCTCGACGAAAACAATAACGAATAACGTGGTGTTGTTTTTTTCTTAATTCGGTACTCATCGCGAAAGAAACTTCCAAAACGACAGAGGGATGAACTCAGATTGACGTGCCGGGAAAGCTTGACCAACTTGGATGGCACTAGCGGACACTTTCAATCCTGTCGTTGGTCTGCATAGGGGCGCTTACACGTTGCCAAATGCCGCCTAAAACACAGTGTTGCCATATGTTTCTGGCCGCTTCTTCTTCTTTTTAAAACCGTTTCATTCTTAAACTTGGTTTTTTCTTTCTTAAAAAATGTTGAAAATCTCGTAGGCGGCACCTTGACACGTCACTTTCAAAATGCTGTATCTCGGTCAAATTTTAAGCTAGAGAGCTCAACTTGGTCTTGTTTTATAGGTAATTACTAGGACTATAACCTCACACAAACCGCATTTTGATATCTGCATTCTTTCGCCCTCTGCGGAAAAAGGGGCAGTACTTTTGGGACACCCTATGTAACTCTGGTTTTGTGATCAGGAGATCTCGGGTTCGATTCCCGGCTCGGCGACCCGAGTTGGAATGGTCTCGAACAACGATTTGAATGGCGATGGTTTTTGAGTAGCAGGGCCAGATTTACCTACTTGCCGCCCATGGGCCGCCTGTATTTTGCCGCCCCCTTCTCATTAGTTTTGAAACATTAATAAAAACCATCAAACGAACGTGCCAACGGAGGAGGGGTGCATAAGACGCTTTTACTCATGTTGAACACATTTTTTGCGAAAGCCCTGTCAACACTACTAGCAAAAGTTCACGGAACTTTACGCGAAAGTTAAGTTCTGTAAACCTCTCATTGTGGACAAGGCCTTCCATTCATAAGAAATGAACGAAAAAATTATGAAAGAACAAACATAAATGTAGTTTAATGATTTTAACTTCCGCCGCCGCGCCGCGCAAACTGCACTGTTTGGCGCAATGCGCGAAGTATTCCGACAGTCTTGTAGGCGCTGTGAGTTTCACGCCGACCGCTGCTGAACGCACTGTGTTTGACGCAATGCGTGAAGTATTCACGCAGTCTTGTAGGCGCTATCCACTTCACGCTGACCGCAATGACCGCACTGTGTTTGATGCAATGCGTGAAGTATTCGTGCAGTCTTGTAGGCTAATATGTGTTACATGCCGATCGCCGCGCCGAGGGCTTCTCCTTTTCATCTCAAGTCCTAGTATCATTTCTCTCTAAGTCGCGCCGTTCCGGGCCAAATTGCGTGTTTTAACTATTTGGTTTCTCTCCTAACTTGAATAATTAAAGGTCCTGTCTCCTGAATCTCTGAAAGACAACAAAATTAGAAATTATTATACTCTCAGGAAATGAGAGATTTTGTCGCCCTCTCTCGTTTGTAATTTTTTTTTTCTAAATCCGATTTTTTTTTATACCTACATTTAAAAAAATTTGCAAAATTTGCCGTCCCCTATAGATATGCCGCCATGGGCCGCGGCCCATGTGGCCACCCCCTTAATCCGGCCCTGTTGAGGAGGGGATGAGGCTTTACCTACTTGTTAGCATAGGATCACCGCACTTTTAAGGAATTTGAAGTGAAAAAAGGACCCCTGACTTAAATCGCTCGGATTTAAGAAAAAGCTTTACATTTGAGGAATATTGATTCCCGTCTTACCAGGTCCACTGAAATTTCCGCTAAATCCATCTGTGAATCTGTTCCGGTTGGAGTTCATTAATACTTGTTTCGAAGATTCTTTCACGCTCGACCAGCGATTATCTTATAGAGATGCATGACGTGCCTAAAATCAGTGTAACGCCAATATCTCTGAAGGTACGAATTTGACCTTAAAAAAATCGTTAGCAATATCTTGCCTTCCTCATTTGTATAGAGTTAGTAAAGCAGTGACTGTTTGGAAACCAGTTGCATTTAATCTAGTGAAGAAATCTGCAGTAAGGAGTTTTTTACCTAATGCCATCGAAAAAATAGTTTTTCCCCAATATGTGCATTCATAGAGTTTTAATACATAAATTCTTGCGAAGTGTACTTTTTTATTTACATACCTACAATTAAACCTTAAAGTCCCTGCTTCAAGGGTATCGACTTGGTATTCACCTGCCCACTGAACCAAACTGACCTTACTTTTTTTAAAAAAATCAATGGCCATGAATGTAGTTATCTATTGAGTGGCATTTAACGCAAAATGGTATCATGGATTTTCTTCAAAATAATTCAATTTAAAGAATCGATTCCAAGTGAGGCAGCTTTCCTCAATCAATATCGATTATTTTACACACGTCTAAAAGGACGGAATCAGTGTTGCCGCTTAACAAGATTGACCACCACTGAACTTCACTCATAAAGTAAGGGGGGCCAACCCTTGACCGCGCCGCGATCCAGCCCCCCGTAGCCTTTCGCGCCTCTGGCGTTATGCGTCCTACGCGTTACTCTTATGATTTTATTTAAAATTAAATTAAATTTGTATTTTGATTTTTTCACAGTTTAATGGGTTACATAAATGCAACGCAGATAAAAAGGTATAAATCCGTGGGTTCTGACATCGAACTATTCATCAACGAAGGGATCCCAGCTGCGAGTCTGCTCAACGATAACGAGAGGTACTTCTGGTTCCACCATTCCGAAGGTGACATGATGACCGTCCAGAATCCCCAAGACATGGACAAGTGCACCGCGCTTTGGGCAGCAGTCGCCTACGTCATTGCTGACCTCAAAGATCCGATGCCCCGAAGATAATCGTCAGGGTTTTGAACACGTTTCGGCCGAAATGCATTCAACAATAAAATGAATACAAAAAATATTTTCGAGTGGATATTGAACACGTTGCGATGAAAAAAGAAACTTAATTTTGAGGTGAACACAAGCAATTTGTTGATTATAATTTTGAAATCTCTGCGCGACTTCAGAGCTTACTTCCAGCATTTTAGGATCTTCTCTACAGAGCAAAACCATGTCAATATCGCTACGATTGTGTAACTCTTTTTTTATTTATAGGCATCCAAAGTCAAAAAGTGGCCCTCATTGTCTGAATTTCTTTGCCCAAATATTCAAAACAATGACGGAAACATGTTGAGCGAATTGCAGAACAGAGCATATATAGTTTTCGACAAGCACTGGAAAAAACACATTGGATCTGGAGTCCAGACTCTTAAAAACATCGACAAGAAAAAATACTCTTGATTCAATCGGATTTTCGCTTAGATCAAGAACCAAGCCCTTTAATTTCAGCGGATTTCCTTTTAATTTAAGCGAAAATCTGATTGAATCAAGAGTATGTTTTCTTGTCAATGTTTTCAAGAGTCTGAACTCTAAATCCAATGTATTTTTTTCCGGTGAGCCTAATAGTCAAGAAGATTCACAATCTTAGCAACCTTAACATAAATCAAACATTTTTGGACTTCATTTTGCAATTTGGAACTATAAATTCTGGCCCGGTTTAAAAAAACGTATGTGCCATTAGTTTCCCTATGCACATAAGTGTTTTTTCAGATGAGCCAAAATTTATAGGTCCAAATTGCAAAATGCAGTCCATTTGGTCAGGAAGGCTCTCACTATAGAGCTTTGAGCACCTTAGAATAAAGATGTACCCATATCATCAGAAATCAGTTTAATTATTAACGCCGTACTGAGTGACAAATACAACTCTTGTATTAAAACTCTGTTTTTGATATTTGGTGCTCTGACCTAAAATATTTGTTCATGCTCTCTTGAAAAGTTTATTCTTTTTACGAATCAAATTTTTTGGATAGCTCGGGGAAAAATAAAAATTATTCTAGACTGAAATTAGCATGTATGTACCTAATATGCTTAAATCACTTTACAGTACGCCACTTTTCTTCCTATATGATCTCATTTGTGTTGTTTTTTATGAATATACTTCATGTGTCTTCATCATCGTTTGTTTTTTTTTTAAACTGTGTTGAATTACCATTAATTTTGGGGGAAAATAAATAAGAGCTAGCTTAACGTTTCTCGTAGAATAAATATGCTGAAGGAGAAAGTATAGGCGCCTAAAAAGTGAAATTTTTAGATTCCAACATAATTTTACGCCTGAGCAAAAATGAAGTGAATTGAGGTGCATATTCTTTGCGATAAGACAGAATATTTGACTTCAAAAATTCTAATTTTGATTTTTCGACGAAACTTGACAAAATCTTGCTCCTGAAAAATTGGCCTCTGAGCAATTAGGTTCCTTCATTCAAGGACGGTCAGGGGTTGTTGATTTAGATTATTCCCAAACTACGTTCAGTCTCAATAACCGAAACTGGATGCACGATACCTTATCTCTATTTTGCTGTGCTTGCAAGAACATCCTATGAACATCCTATCGTCGCCAACTTTTCGCACGAAAAAAAATATCTTTAAAGAAAGTTATATGATTATTCTTCCGTGAAATTTTCAGATACCACAGATCAAATGGACGTATTTCTATCAAACGGACCTAAGCGCCATAGGCTGAGGAAGGTAGAGGGGGGCTTGGATTGGCGGCGGAATCGAGCGTCCGGCTTATTCCGTCCTATACTCGCAGTGCTTTTCCATGGCGCTTAGGTTCGTTTGAAAGAACGCGCTATCCGGCATTCTAAATTCCGCAAAAGGAACTTAAATTGGCGCTTAGTTCCGTTTGATAGAAATACATCCAAATTAAGATTACAATTTTGAGAAAAACGGGAAGAAAAATACTCATAAACAGGGCCGGATTCACCTACTTGCCGCCCACGGGCCGCTTATATTTTGCCGCCTCCTCTCATTCGTTTTGAAACTCGATAAAACCATCAAATGAACGTGCCAGCGGGGGAGGGGTGCATAAGACGCAGTTACTCGTGTTGAACACATTTTTTGGGAAAGCCCTGTCAACACTACTAGCAAAAGTTCACGAAACTTTGCGCGAAAGTTAAGTTCCGTAAACCTATCTCTGTGTGGACAAGGCCTTCCATTCATAAGAAATGAACGAAAAAATTATGAAAGAACAAACATAAATGTGGTTCAATGATTTTAACTTCCGCCGCCGTGCCGCGCAGACCGCACCATGTTGAACGCAATGCGTGAAGTATTCACGCAGTCTTGTAGGCGCTATGCGTTTCACGCTGACCGCACAGTGTTTGGCGCAATGCGTGAAGTATTCATGCATTCTTGTAGGCGCTATGCGTTTCACGCTGACTGCAGTGACTGCACTGTGTTTGATGCAATGCGTGAAGTATTCGTGCAGTCGTGTAGGCGCTAATGTGTTACATGCCGATCGCCGCGCCGAGGGCTTCTCCTTTTCATCTCAAGTCCTCGTTATCATTTCTCTCTAAGTCGCGCCGTTCCAGGCCAAATTCCGTGTTAGGCTTCTCTCGTGACTCGACTTAGTGAGGGTGCTGTCTCTTGTATCACTGAAAGACGACAAAATTAGAAATTACTATACTCTCAGGAAATGAGAGATTTTGTCGCCTTTTCTCGTTTGTAATTTTGTTTTTATAAATCCGATTTTTTTTATACCTACACTTTAAAAAATTGCAAATTTTTGCCGCCCCTTAGATTTGCCGCCATGGGCCGCGGCCCATGTTGCCACCCCCTTAATCCGGCCCTGCTCATAAATTTCCCCGAAAATCCTCATTTTTCCGATTCATTTAAAGAATTAAAGATTCATAGGTGGTTCTCCTTCGGCACAGCAGTTTAATGCCGTTCTAAGGAAAAACGTATATGATAACACTTCGTATGATAATTTGAATGTTGCCAAATTTCCTTCGATAAAATGTGTATTTTCCAGGAAAGTTATTCATGCGTTTTCTTGAAATTTTCAGAAACTTTTGGTGAAATTGCGAACAAAATTTACCGTAAAACTGGAAGGAAAATATTTGTAAGCTTACCAAGAAATTCGAGTTCTATCAAAGGAAATTTGGAGGCGCCTGAAGGTTGATACGGTGTTTTTCCTCGGCATGGCACAGTGCTGCCATGCTATGGAAGAACGCCGTATGAACCTTCAGGCGTTGCCATATTTCCCTCGATATAAAGCGAATTTATTCGGAAAATTGTGAATATTTTTCTTCAAATTTTTCAGGCAATTTTGTTCGCACTTTGATCTACACTATCTGAAAATTTCAAAGAAAAATATGTAGAACTTTCCTCAAAAATACTTGTTTTATCCGGGAAAATTTGGCAACTCTCGGATGTTCATACGGCGTTTTTCCTTAGCACGGCACAGTGGTGCTGACAGTGAATGAGTAATTATGAGAGAAAGGTGCCGTGGTTGGCCACTGTCTAGACGTCTGCTCGAAGACCACCGGGGCTCGGTGGATCCTTGAATAAAAATGTTTTTTGGGAGAGAATACGAGAATAAGACAATAAAGGGAAGAGGGAATAAGGATACCGAATTAAGATGTTCATTACCGGAGCCGCGCATGAGCGCTCACGTTCGATTGGAGGCCCGGGCCATGGGCGGCCCCGTTTATTACACGCGCACCTACGCCGCGCCGGCCCGTGTCGTAAACGTTTTACAACCCCCCACCCCACCCCATTCACTCCCGTTCTCATAGACAAGGTACCGAGATTTGTCTATCTATGGTATACGGGAAAAGTTTGACCACTGGTCAAAGTTGCCAGGTTGGAGGTGGGAGTATCAACCGAGGATACATGGAGATTTCTTCACTCGAGGAAGAGATTTCAGCTTTATCTTGGGCAACTGAATCTTTTTACGATTGAAAATTAGGTAATCAAAACAAATAAGTGCCATCAGGTGTACTGAGCTCGTAGAAAGTCTCTGTCGCTCTATTGGAATATAATTTTCTGCTGGGAAAATAAACTGAACCAAAGTGGCAGTGATCGCAATAAGTTGCCATTTGATCAGAGAACGTATCGCGATTTTATCGACGTGCAATATTATCGAACAAAATAGGTAATTGCGATAAATTGAGATACAATTTCGATTTTATCGAACGCGAGACAATATTGAAAATAATCGCTCAGATGTTGATGATCCTAGCGATTTAATCGCCAAAAAATTGTAAAAAAATCGCAACTTAATTTAAAAATATCGCGATTCTTCCTCTAAAAAATGCTACGTGGGAAGGGGGCATTCTAATAATTCTAATGATACCGACCGAAATCGAGATCCACAGCTCCTCAGATTTTCCACACCGAATACTACAAGCAAAAATATCTTCCGCCTACTATTTGGCAACGGCACACAGCTAGTAGTTGCCACTTACGGAGAAAAAATATCCTTTTCGCATAGTTTTTAAAAGTAACGCAGGAACTACGTTGCCACCACTTGGCATCGACGGCAGTAATTTCGCGGTAGTTCCTTTTATGAGTCACCAGCTACCACTCCAGTCTCCTGCTCCTCCTACTACTGGCCCAATCCACGTTTACAACCCCACCACTACATCTTCTTTAACTCAACTTTAATTAGCCGAACCTCTAACCCTTTCAATTCTTACAGCCTCATTCCGACCTCATAGTCTCAAATATAAGATGTCTAGCAGTCGATTTGGATTGTTCGTTAATTTCATTTGCTCTGCTCTCTGATAGGCAGGTAGAAAGTTCAATGAAAATGGGTAACTGCTTTCATGACGCATGAGAAGCATGGGCGTAGCTAGGGGGATCCTTGGGGGGCCT